CCCTGCATCACTGGAACACACATTTTGGAGTGGCGGCAGCAGCTTCACACTCACCTGTGTTTGTTTGCATCACGTGAGGCTCCAACTGACAGCTGAACATGAATATGTGAACTCATTTTGTGTATCTTCACTGCACATAATTGATTCTTTGTCCTTTTTAAAATCAGTCATCACTGAAATGCCCTCTAACAAACGGCTTTTTGTGAAATCATCAGATGCAGGAACAAAAGCTACTTTTTGGGTCCTTTCGTCTTTGCTAAGTGCACAAGTACCTCTGTGTGCATCTGGTCTGCAGGTTTTCCACTAATTCAGTTACAACAGAAAGAGCCCTAACTCTTCTTGAGAATGCATGACTAACCAACAAAATAAATATGGGCAAATCCAGAAATCACAATCCAGATATTCTCTTTTCATAATCTTTTAGCTTTATTCTCTCGTTATAATTTACAGTCCCCAGAAGAACATAATTTATAGTGATGTGTCGGTCGCTAACGAGCCGGCTCTAAAAACCGGCTCTTTGAAGTGAACGATGTGAGCTGGCTTGTCATTGGGAGCCGTGCCCTCCCCTCCCCCCTCCCCTCTTGCTTTGGTGAACGCTACAGGCGATTGGTCAACATGTGTAACTGCGTGTCCAGACTGTCCAAACACATAGCAGTAGGGGCGGGGAAGAGGGAGGATCAGACTCAGACACACTGCAGAGCACATGTGGGTGGAGGGAGACGAGAGGGAATGAGGAGGAGGAAAAAGGCGAGCGAGAGAGAGAGGAGAGTGCGACGAAGACGGTGAGAAAATGAGCGCCAGCAGTCGGAAAGTGGAGATTTCTTAAAGTGTTCAGTTATTAAATCCATATAAATGATAAATTTTTGATATATTGCATTTGTTTACATTTTTACATATAGTTTAAAATTATTTTGGTTATAAATGTACTCTACGCAACAGAAAATCTGAGGAGCCACTTGGGAGCCAAAAGAGCCGGCTCTTTTTGGTGAGCTGAGCCAAAAGAACCGTCGTCGTCGTCGTCGTCGTCTTCCTCCGCTTATCCGGGTCCGGGTCGCGGGGGCAGCATCCCAACTGGGGAGCTCCAGGCCGTCCTCTCCCCGGCCTTGTCCACCAGCTCCTCCGGCAGGACCCCAAGGCGTTCCCGGACCAGATTGGAGATGTAACCTCTCCAACGTGTCCTGGGTCGACCCGGGGGCCTTCTGCCGGCAGGACATGCCCGAAACACCTCCCCGGGGAGGTGTCCAGGAGGCATCCTGACCAGATGCCCAAACCACCTCAACTGGCTCCTTTCGATCCGGAGGAGCAGCGGTTCTACTCCGAGTCCCTCCCGAATGTCCGAGCTCCTCACCCTGTCTCTAAGGCTGAGCCCGGCCACCCTACGGAGGAAACTCATTTCGGCCGCTTGTATCCGCGATCTCGTTCTTTCGGTCATTACCCAAAGCTCATGACCATAGGTGAGGATTGGGATGTAGATCGACCGGTAAATCGAGAGCCTGGCTTTCTGGCTCAGCTCCCTCTTCCCCACGACAGATCGGCTCAGCGTCCGCATCACTGCAGACGCCGAACCAATCCGCCTGTCGATCTCCCGATCCCTCCTACCCTCACTCGTGAACAAGACCCGAGATACTTAAACTCCTCCACTTGAGGTAGGACCTCTCCCCCGACCCGGAGGTGGCAAGCCACCCTTTTCCGGTCGAGAACCATGGTCTCAGATTTGGAGGTGCTGATCCTCATCCCAGCCGCTTCACATTCGGCCGCGAACCTACCCAGCAAGAGCTGAAGGTCAGAGCTGGATGAAGCTAGGAGGACCACATCATCCGCAAAAAGCAGAGACGAGATTCTCCTGCCACCAAACTCGACACACTCCACACCACGGCTGCGTCTAGAAATTCTGTCCATAAAAGTGATGAACAGAACCGGTGACAAAGGGCAGCCCTGGCGGAGTCCAACCCTCACTGGGAACAGGTCCGACTTACTACCGGCTATGCGGACCAAACTCACGCTCCTCTGGTAAAGGGACTGAATGGCCCTTAACAGAGAGCCACCCACCCCATACTCCTGGAGCGTCCCCCACAGGGTGCCCCTGGGGACACGGTCATAAGCCTTCTCCAAATCCACAAAGCACATGTGGATTGGTTGGGCAAACTCCCATGCCCCCTCCATCACCCTTGCAAGGGTATAGAGCTGGTCCACAGTTCCACGGCCAGGACGAAAACCACATTGCTCCTCCTCTATCTGAGATTCAACTATCGATCGGACCCTCCTCTCCAGTACCTTGGCGTAGACCTTTCCAGGGAGGCTGAGGAGTGTGATCCCCCTATAGTTGGAACACACCCTCAGGTCACCCTTCTTAAAGATGGGGACCACCACCCCGGTCTGCCACTCCCTAGGAACTGCCCCCGATGACCACGCAATGTTGTAGAGACGTGTCAACCATGACAGCCCTACAACATCCATAGCCTTGAGATACCCAGGACGAACCTCATCCGCCCCCGGGGCTCCGCCGCTGTGTAGTTGTTTGACTACCTCAGCAACTTCTGCCCCCGAGATCGGACAGTCCATCCCCAGGCCTCCCAGCTCTGGTTCCTCCTCGGAATGCGCATTGGTGGGATTGAGGAGCTCCTCAAAGTATTCCTTCCACCGTCCGACTATAGCCTCAGTTGACGTCAGCAGCTCCCCATCCCCACTGTAAAAGGAGCCGGAATTCCCATCACTAGTAATTTAAAGTAAAAGTGAGGATTTTCATGCTCCTGTGCCCTACTGGCTGCAAGTGGAATAATAACTGTTGTAAACAACCCTGCTATAGCTAGCGCTAGCAACAAGCTAGCACTTAAGAGCCAACTAATACTAAAATAAACCACACGTACAAAGGTCCTCACTGTTGGAGAAAAATATTATAAGGAGCCAAAGTCTCCTACTTTTTCGGTTGGCTCCCTGGAAGAACAAAAAAAAAATGAATGCAAGTCAATGGGGCTGAAAGAGCTCTGGATCGCACATATGTTGTACTTCAATTTAAATAAAAAGTGATTATGTGTGTTTTGACCATGCCTAATAAGTATTTTGAGATTTATCAGATTGTAAAAATTCGTAATTATAAAATACCTTATATAGCCCCGTTGACTTGCATTAATTTTTTCGTTCTTCTGGATACCCATGGTCCAGAAGTAGATGGGTGTGACCTAGGCTCCCTTTTGCTTACAAGTCCAGTAGCAACAAAGCCAGGTCACCATCAGTCAGTGCTTTTGTAGCCTCCTGTAACTCCCTTAAAGCAGTGTATGCTGCGCCGATGTTTACTCTGGGTTTAGCTCTTTACTTCACCTCCAAAGCCATCACTCTCTTACGTTTACTTCCAGGCTCCGCCATGATGCCAACAGAAAAAGCAAACTTCTTCTTGTGTTTTGTATGGTTGGCAAACTGAAAATGCTAACCACTAGCATAACAGCTAACAGCCATAAAGCAGGTAAAGAGCACCCCCTAGGACACCTACCCACTCCACAAAACTATCAAGTATGGTTTTTGGTTAGCAGAGGGCTGCAGAGTGGTGTCAAATATGAAACTAGTCAAGTTTCTAACTCAACAATGACCGAGATACATGTTAGAGTTCTAGCTTCAAGTAAAAAAAAACAGGCTGTTGTTACTTTAAGATTGTTCATATTTAAAGTTAGAAGTGTTTGATAAATACGCTGGAACAGTTTATCAAAGGGGAATAAAAGATGGGAAATGCTGCTGTGGAGTGTTAGGTTAAACCTTCACAAAGTCATTGTAATTGGTAAATAATTCCCCCCCGGAGAGAAACAGTGTCTCACAGGTCAGACGAGGGAGAAAATTTACTGCCATAAACTGCTACTATAAACAGGACACATTCCTTCTGTAATTTTGAACATCTGGTATGTAAGTCGCGTCCTCTCTGCTGTGTGGGCTTTCAAGTCTGGTCAAAATATTAAACATCTTGGCACGGCACGGGTTTCCTTGCAGCCTCTTATAGCTTCCTCATTCAAGTACGTTGTAAAACCTTTATTTTTGTGGCATTTATGTGCATTACACCATGTGCCATTAGATGAGATGCTATTATATTAAACACGGGACAGTAAATGTCACACATTTGCACCAGATTTAGTCCCTGTGTTATTCATGTTGGGCTGATGGATGGAGCAGGAACTAATTTAGAGATTTTCATGTTACAGTGTCTAATGAGTTGTTGCCATAGGAACAAGTGTCCAGGCAAAGTTGAATAAACAAGGCTGTGGTCACATCTGGTACTGAGTGGGTTAAAAGGGCAGAGTGTCGCTTCTGGATGGCAGGTTGAGTTATAGCTGCAGGTTAAAAAGCCGCGCTTACAGCCAGTTTGGGCTCATTCCATGAAAAAGTCTGAAAAATAAGAAAATTGTTGAGATAATCATTCTTAAAATCTGACAATCTCCCTCTTATTGTTCCGGGCTTAAAGATTTTCCCATCTCTCCCTGTTTGACTCAGTAAAGGAAGCCATTAGTCAGCAGCTTTTGTCATTTGTCTTGTTTTTTTTTTTTTTTTTTTTTTTTTTTACATTTTGTCCCTTCACGGTTGTCTTCAGGATATGAGCTGTTTAAGCGGTGTGGTCTCTTAACACAAATTGGAGCATTAGGGTTTCATTTGAGCCCAGTAAACATGCTGCCGCGGAATATCTCATATGGAGTTGCAGAGTGATTTTTTTTTGTCTGGATTAGAAGACAGATTTGGAAGTAAGCCCATGCTCTGATAGTAGCCTGTTGTGGTGAAAGACAAAGTGTGAGACTCATACTCAAGGCGATGCAGATCATCTCCTGAGGCAGGATGCTGAAAGTCAACACAGGAAGTTAGGTCACACAGTGGAAGTCCCTAAAAATCTGCCCTGCACGTTGCTGCCGGCGCCACAGGCTGCTAGAGCGCAGACTCAGTCACAGCTACTATAAATAGACAAACAGACAAAATGAAATTAAACAAATTCACTGCTGTAAACTGATGCCAACGATTTGTTTTTGCAGAACTCAATGAATCTTCCTCCAGACAAAGCCCGGCTGCTTAGGCAGTATGACAATGAGAAGAAGTGGGATCTGATCTGTGACCAGGTGAATCAGAAACAAACAAGCCTGCGCTGATGTCATGTATACACACACATGCCCTCGTAGCTCTGGCTGCAGCAAACATCACAGTTCTTTCTCTGATGTGTGTCTTCAGGAGAGGTTTCAGGTGAAGAATCCTCCTCACACCTACATCCAGAAGCTTAGAGGATACTTGGACCCTGGAGTCACACGAAAGGTAGAAATCAACCAGTTCACTGAAGCAGTGTTGCTCAATAGACTAAAACTGAAATAGCTTCTCAGCTTAACTCATTTCTCATGTTTAGTTTGATTTTGACCCAAACAGAAGTGCAACAATGTGTGAATCTGGAGAAAACCCAAACTTTCTTTGTTACAGAAATTTCGCAGACGTGTGCAGGAATCTACAAAAGTCTTGAGGGAGCTGGAGATTTCCCTGAGAACGAACCACATCGGGTAATCATCTCTTATCTCCTGATAAATCACACAGCTGTATTTACTCAAAGAAAGCTCAGGGAAATCTCTTTGTTGTTTGTGTTGAATAAAGAATATTCTTTTGTGTACTGCTGCTGCTGCACAATTCTCCCCCACACCGTATTGTTCTAACCCTCCAAACCCTGCAGCACACCTTGCAGAGCTGGTCCTCATAATGCCCAGATGGCAGCCATTGTGCTGCCTCGTCCACTCTCTTGGACGAAACTAGGAAAAAGTGCAGAAAAAAGCTAAGGATTTGCCTCATTTGTCAAATTTCAATTATGAGACTTACTTCTTAATTAATGGTCAAACGGTTACCTGTACAAATATGTTTTTATGAGTCACAATAAGCAAGAAGCAAAGAATAAATCTGCTTTAAATAATTTCCATGAAGAATAAAACCACTGAAATCTAAAAGGAAAACGTTTGTGCGTTGGATTGAATGTAACAGATGCTGGTCGTTTGTGTGTGTGTGTGTGTGTGTGTGTGTGTGTGTGTGTGTGTGTGTGTGTGTATTATTTGATTGGGTCCATCTGTGTGTTATACCTAACTTTGCCAGGACAATCTCAAACAGCAACTGGTTGGAGAAAAGTGGATGGAGCTAAAGGGGCTCAAAGGCAAGATGGGATCAAGAGGCTGGGGCAGGAAACTGATCATCATCGTACCTCCTCACCCCCTCCCTCCATTCCTGTTGCTTTGTCCCCCGCGCCTCTTTCTTCTCTCCCTCCTTTCCTCTGCTTCATTTGAGGCTCTTGATTGGTTTCCTGCCCGACTTACCCATTGGCTGCCTTGCAGCCGGTAATCATAACCAGCATTTTAGGACTATTTTAAGAACCTTTTACCCCAATCCTGTCGACCTCCCCCCTTTTAGAGTTTCCTGAAGAATTGGGGAGGAGCTGAAAGGGGTTCTGCGGGGGAGGCAGACTAAATACTGTTCAGTGTCAGGGTTTCGACCTGAGCCCCGCTCTCTGAAGCATATGCCCTCCACATTCTTTCTCTGGTTGCAGAGGGAATTCCTTTGTTTGGGGTTGTTTCTCTCTGTGGAAAACTGGAGCTAAATGGTGAGGAAACCCGAAGCCTGGCTCACTTTAACTTCAATCTGTTTCATTTACATGTTTGATTCTTTGAGTCCGTGCAGAAAACCCCCTTTTTAAAACTCCTGCATCAGATGAGGAAGGAACACTTTGTGACATTTCATAAAACACGCCTGGACTTGAGATGGGTTACTGAAACAGAAAGTACCTCAAAATAGGAAAAATTCCTTCATTTTTGAAGGATGGTAAATGGCATGTATGTGATATAGCGCCTTCTAGAGTCCTAGAACCCACAAAGGCACTTAACAACTCAATCAGTCATTCACACATTCACACCCTGGTGGTGATGAGCTACATTGTAGCCGCAGCTGCCCTGGGTCACACTGACAGAGGCGACTCCGCCGTACACAGGCGCCGCCGTTCCCTCCGACCACCACCAGCAGGTAAGGTGTGTTAAGTGTCGTGCCCAAGGACACAGTGACATTGACAGACTGAGCGGGGCTCGAACCTGCAACCTTCCGATGACGGGGCGAGCACTTAACTCCTGTGTCACCGTCGCCCAAGGAGGCCAAAGAGTTGGAGAGTCGTTTTTTCTTTACTTACTTCTCCAAAAGGTTTGTTGAATGTTTAAGGAAGTGTAATTCTCCCCCAAAAGATCAGGTCTATACATCTTTACGCTGATCAATAGCACCAGCTCTAATTTATGAATTCCAATTCAAGCACATAAACTTAATTTTTATTGGTTTTATTTTGAATCAACTTGTTTTTTACAGATATAAGAATTTTTGAAGACTTTGGTGAAATGTAAATTATTCAAACCTGTGTCCCCATTTCTCTATAAAGAGCACTGAAGCTTGATTTAGGTTGGCAAAGCACGGTGGTGGAGACACGATGATGTGGGCTTGTTCTACCACAAAACTTGAACACCTCACAGTCCATTTAACCATAAACTCCACTGAAAAAAGGGAAGATGGCTGAAATTCATCCAAATAGACAATAATAACAAACACAGAACCTTTAATAAAAGAGTGACTGAAGCAGAAATGCTCAAGCTGCTGCTGCAACTGAAGCTTCTCTACTTAACCTGGTTGAAATGAAGCAGTGCACTGAAGCGTTTATGCTTGTGGACATTTGTTCATGAATATATTCATGCAAGAAGACTCTAGGAAAAAAGAGACGACCAAATGAGGCCAAATTTTCTTTTAAGCCCAGTACAAAGACAAACTTAGAGCAAGTTATCTGTGGAGTTTGTGGATCGTTTTCTTTTTGGTTTTCTCCTCTAAAGAGTTCCTGATAAAGCAAAGGCTTTCTTTTATGATTTGACCCCTCTCTGTTTCCGTATGTCACAGGTGGGTCAGAGAGTTCCTTAATGATGAGAACAGAGGTCTGGATGTTCTGGTGGAGTACCTCTCCTTTGCTCAGTGTGCTGTCATGTGAGTACACACACACACACGCACCTTTCATGACCAAAACCTTTACTAAGGAACTGGGTAGGGCTGTGAATCCTGCCGCTGTGTCCCGTAGAAACTGCCTGTGCATCTAAAATGTGCTCCTGCATTCTTCAGGTGTTTGTATGCCTTGTTGCCTATATTGCAAACTGAATATGCTTCTGGATTGATGGGTTTAGCGTTGGATTTCATGCTACCATCTATCTGAATGGGTCAGAATCTGTGCTGAGCTCCATCATGCAGCTTCCTGTCAGTTCTGGTGATAACCTCCTGGCTCTGTAGCAGCCTGCCTCGCTAACTTAACCTCCCTCGTCACTCCTCTTTTCCTCTTTGCCTCTGTGTTGGCTTCTCTGTCTGTCTGTGGCCCAGGTTGGATTTTGAGGGCATGGAAAAGGGGGAAGATGGCTTCTTGGACAAATCATGGAGCAGGTCCATAGAGGATCTGCACCATACGGGTACCCGACCCTTCTGCAACACTCTGGTGCGCTCTGCTCGCCAGTCTGTCTTGCGGTACGTAGTTCCCCCCCTGCTATCGGCCATCCCTGTTATCGTCTGGCTCTGCTTCCGTCAAAAGCTATAAACATGTATTAGCATGCAGAAACTTTGTGGCTGTTTTATTTTGTTTGATTTTTTTCAAAAAACTGCTTTGATTAGTTTTGGGACAGGTTATCCTTTTTGGCTTGTTCTCTGCAGAAAGGAGCTGAATGTCTTTGACCTTCAGTGCTTTATGTCTCTCCTCATCTACCCAAATGTGCATCCATACTGTCTACAGATGAGAGCCAGATGTGAGCATGTTAGGGGTGAATAGAGCCAAAGATGGTAGAGGTCATGTCATTTTGAAAAAAAAAAGGAATATTTAGTTGAAAAAGTAAAAAGAAAAGCTCAAGCAATTATGATATAATGCAAAAAAATAGTTTGATTACATAGTGAGAGTTCAGCACACTGTCATATGTGTCTGTGCACATTCTGATTTTGGTGTTTTTGACAGCAGCAAGGAAACTAGACATTTCGCATAATGCATCAGCAATCTCTAATGTTTTCTGTCTTATTTTGGGTTCTGGGTTGTGCTATTTCAGGTTTTGTTTTCCTGTAATTTTCTCTCATTCTCACTTTCTTGGGAGACACCCTTATAGCGCGAGTCATAAGAAAGTCTAAACAACTACAAGAGACAGAATAAGCCACAAACGAATAACTAAACCAGAGGAGGGTTTTAACTTCTGCCGTCTGTTGCAGCTATGGATCAGTCTCAAACACCAAAACCATCAAGAATTCACGGCTCGTGAGCCAAAAAGATGACGTGCATGTGTGCATCATGTGCTTGAGAGCGATAATGAACTACCAGGTACTCAGCGGTGACACCAAAACTTTACCTCAGACATGCACGCTGCACACACTGATACAGATAGATGGTGTTCTTCCTGTGCACTCAAGATATGAATATATGTCAGTTTTTCTGACCACATCCTGCCCTCTCTGTCTCTTTCTCTGTCTCTCCACACAGTATGGCTTCAATATGGTCATGTCTCATGAACATGCTGTCAATGAAATTGCCCTAAGCCTGAATAATAAGAACTCGAGGTAAGATCTAAGGACTCCATCTCTGCAGAACCGAGGTAGGGGTCTGACAATAAGAGATTCCCTGCAGCCAGTTCATTTGATATGTGTCCCATTCTTCACGGGGCCCAGCTTCTCTGTGAAGTGGAGGATCAGGGGTGTGTGTTCAGGCTGTGAAAGGAATGTTTACTAGAGAGAGATTAGTGGTAAACCGCTGCGATGGATCACTCTGTAAGGACAGGAGGACAAACACTTAAAAAGCATTAAAGCGCTACGTTACACTGGATATGGATTATAACTTTAAACTCTGGATGTTGGTGTTTGCAGCAGTTGTGGAGGATTTCCTGTGTGCATGTTGTGCTGATGAGCTTCTTATCCACTTCCAGGACAAAAGCGCTGGTCCTCGAGTTACTTGCTGCAGTTTGCCTTGTCCGAGGAGGTCACGAGATCATTCTTTCAGCGTTTGACAACTTCAAAGAGGTGCCTGTAGCAACTTTTACAAACTCATGAAACACTTAAGCTGACTCGTCAAGGACTTGGGAAGGAGATGAATTCCTCCTTGTCATTAAATTGTCACAAATGGGTTAATAAAACTGACTGAAAGCATAAATGAGTGCAAAAAAGGTTCATTTATACATCTGATGAGGTTGTTGTAGCTCAGCAGTGGCCTGTCTGAAGTTATTGGTCTCATTAAGACACCAGAAATGATTTAACCTTCAATAGTGATAAGGATCACCCCCAGTGAGAACCGGCAGACCTCAAGGATTTGCTTCGCTTCTCCATTTCTGTCTGTGCAGTGATCTAAACACCAGAGCAAAAGACGCGAATGAGCTAAACAAGCAGAGTTATTCTTTGATGCCATTTTCCTAAATGGTGCATTAATCTAAAGTTACAATGTGAGATCTCATAGCTGCAGCAGCGACTCGCCTATCTGCTGCATCCCATTAGGATTAGTTTCTGTCCCCTGCTTTTTTGCACATGTTGAAGAGAAACAAATTAAGACAAAGCAGAAAATATTAATTTTTTCAATGTTTATATTATTATTTTTTTCACATATTTTTACTGTCAATTTCTGCCTAGTAATAATTTATATCACTAATAAAAAGCGATAAAATTCACCCATGATCATTTGAGATGAACATTCTTAGCAGAAAATAGTGAAAAATCAGAAACATGTTTATAAAACTCAAACAGGGAATCAACAAAATGTATTTCAGACTAAAGTTACCTCAGAAATAAAATATATTATCGTATTTTTTATTAAACTAAGTACAATCATATCAGTCTGCACAAATGAAATAAGTTCAACATATATTTAACAAGAAGATTGAATTTAATAAAGGGAAATGAACAAGAAATGTCGCTTCTTAAATCTATGTGCAGCTTTAAACATTTTTTTAAAGTGTTGATTTTTAGATTTTAAAGGTTCCATATGCTATTTTAAACCTTTGAGAGCAAAGGAAATAATATGATAAAATATAACCGTTGGCACTTAAATACGAGTTATTGTGGTCACCCTGAATTCATACCCAGTAATAAAACGCTTCGTTTCAGTGAAACTCCGCCCCCGCCCGCTCCGACAGAATGTGCCCACAACAGCATCTTAGCTGAGTCAGTTGCTGTATTGGCTATGATAGTCCAGTGGTTAAGTTGTCCAGCTCAGCACTCTGACCACTAGACTACCAAGTCTGCTACGTGACACCAGTCGCCTAAACCTCATGTCCTGTGCTGGACAGAGGAGACAGGTTTCAGACCGGAGACTAGCTTCCAGGAGAGGAGCAAGGCCTAACAACGAGACTGGTTTCCATTGACACTTTACAAGGTTTTCAAAGTAAAACTGATCATTTGTTGTTGAAACCGTAAAATGCATGAATGCATCCCAAAAAGGGGTTAACATTTCATGGGGAAATTACAATATCACATGGTAAAAAGCTACAAAAAGTGGATTTTTCATGATATGGCCCCTTTAAATAAACTCTGTTGAACCAGAGGGCAGCAGTAGCTCAGGTGGTAGAGCGGGTTGCCTCATGATCGGAGGGTCATGGGTTCGATTCCAGCTCCCCGCCAGGGGTATCCTGCTGCTGTGTCCTTGGGCAAGACACTTCACCCAACTTGCCTGTGTTAGTGGTGGTCAGAGGGGCCGACGGCACCAAATGGCAGCCTTGCCTCTGTCAGACCTCCCCAGGGTGGCTGTGGCTACAAGTAGCTTACCATCACTAGCAGTGTGTGAATGTGAGAGTGTGTGAAAGCGTCGTTGGGTGTCTTGAAAAGTGCTATATAAGTTCAATGCATTATTATGATGATTATTATTATTATTAATATGATCATCATCATGATGTAAGACAACAGATGTTCAACGCTGTAATTTTTCTTATTGGTTTTAACATTCTATGGTTAAGCATCCATTTCAATGAAAAGAAGAAGATTTTATTTCTGCATCTTTGTAGGTTTGCAAAGAGAAACATCGCTTTGAGAGACTGATGGATTACTTTCACTGTGAAGAGGGAAACATCGACTTCATGGTTGGACAAACTTTCATCCATGTATTATTTAAATATTGTGAATGCATGTCTGCTCATAAAATGAATAGTTTTGTTGTTAAATTTCATTAAATTGTGTTTTTTCTTACCTGGATATCTGCATATGGAACAAAACTCCCTGGATTACATTTAATTGTCCAGATAGGGATCACACAGTTATTCCAGGTATAACCAAGGTCTTGGTCTGTTTGTGTTCGTGGGTTAGGTCGCTTGCATGCAGTTCATCAACATTGTGGTCCACTCAGTCGAGGACATGAACTTCAGAGTCCATTTGCAGTATGAATTCACCAAGTTGGGGCTTGATGACTATCTGGAGGTAAAGAGAAAATAATCTGGTTTAAATATTTTAATGTGATTTATGATGTCACTAATTCTGAATCACCCTCGTGTCAGAAATCTAAACATACAGAGAGCGACAAGCTGTCAGTGCAGATCCAGGCCTACTTGGATAACGTCTTTGATGTGGGTGGCCTCCTGGAAGACGCTGAGACAAAAAACGCCGCGCTGGAGAAGGTGGATGAGCTGGAGGAGCACCTGTCCCATGTGAGTGCACCACCCAGTCTGGACCACCAGCACTGCTCTTTTTTTACCCACTTATGTGATTGTTGTGGCTCACGAGCTGTGTACTTAACTCGTCTGTTTCTAACATGGCAATTAGAAATCCTTACTGTTTGCTTTTCACGAGCGGTTCGGTATAATAACCAGGCGGAGAATGCTGGAAAATACCGCATGAGAAACAATGTTATTATTGTTATTACTGCCGCGCCGGTCTTCTGTGTGTCCCACGCTGCCTCGCAAAGGCCTCCTTCACACGAAAAGGTCGTAGGCACCCCTGACATCATTGGAGGAATTTCATAACAAACTCTGCTCTAAGGGGTCAGGAATGATGGGAGTGGGGCCGCATCAGCGGGAAGATTCTTGTTGGATTCCTGAGCAACATGAGTACCATGTTGAATCTGTCAGGCTGCTCCTACATCATGTGGCTGCTCTGCTCTTATTTCTTATTGATGATGCAGCTGAGAGGGAGCAGAGCTGGCAAAGATGCCCTCTCATCACTCTGCTGCTCTCTCTGCCTTCATCCCCAGGTGACCGAGAAGCTGCTGGAGGTTGAGAATGAAACCATGATGAAAGTCGCCGATCTGGAGAAGATTCTCCTCCAGAAGGATAAAGACCTGCAGGCCATCCGGGTGAGCCACCATTCTGTTCAACGCCTCATTACCTCTTGTAAAAATGGCTTCACTTTCACTGCATTAGATTGAGTTCAGATGCTTGTTTCTAAATTTGCTGAGAGATAAAATGAGGTCATAAGGAAACAGGATGTTTCTCTAAAATTGTGGAGTCATCACATTGTGCTCTTTTCTGCCCCCCGCTGGCGGATCAGGAGACATACGAGTCGACCAATACCCAAGTCAACACCCTGAGGAGGATGATCAAGGAGAAGGATGCTGCCTTCCAGAGACACTTCAACATCGAGAAGCGGCTCCTGGAGCTGGAGAAGCAGGGCACCATCCGCCTGCACAAGAAACCCGACGGAGACATCTCCATCGAGCCGCTGGGCGTCGGTGGTGGGGACAGCGGCATTGGGATCCCTCTCGGGAATGTCGGGCAGTTTCCTTTGGGCTCAGCAACTAGGCTTACAGACTTTGGAGGTCCAGACGACAGCTTACCACCGGCTAGTGAAGCTCCCCCACCTCCTCCTCCTCCCCCACCTCCTCCTCCTCCCCCTCCTCTACCATCTGCTTCAGGTGATGCATCATGACTCACATTTCCTATGGTGTGTGTGTGCATGTGAAAGTTCACTTATTTGACTGTAGACCTGTGGTTTTTGCCAGTTGCTTTCTGTGCTCTTTCATGCCAGGCAGGGTGATGGGTGAAAGCATGTTTCATCTCACCCAGACAGGAAGACAAAACCTGCTTCCTGTTTCCTCTGTGTGCAGAAATGCTGCATCTGTTTGTTGCAACTTGATTTAAGCAGGGCTGATTATGATTTGAAAACTATTTTAATGATAAAGGAACATATACTTTACCTTAAATGTGTGCATATTGTTATAATATATCTTTTATGTTTATCACAGCTGCACCAGTCCCTCCTCCACCACCTCCTCTTGCTCCGCCTCTGCCAGATTCTTCTCCTTCTGTCATCCTAAGTTTGGGTCTGTCAGGTGAGATGAAAAGTGACGTATTACTTTGAATACTTCTCATATTTTACAGCTTCTTTTAACTTGTTTTTGCATCTTGCCCACAGCAATCAGGATCAAGAAGCCCATCAAGACCAAATTCCGCCTCCCTGTTTTTAACTGGACGGCCTTGAAGCCCAATCAGATCAACGGCACCGTCTTCAATGAGATTGATGATGAGCGAGTGCTTGAGGTGCATCCAGCCGATCAGATTTAGATGGCTTCAGATGTCTATAAATGTTTTAGCAAAATTAGCGACTATTTAAGATGTCAAACAAGGTAGTTTCCAGGAAGTTTGGAAGAACAAATCTAAAGTGTTATTTGTGTGCAGGAGCTGGATCTGGAGAAGTTTGAGGAGCTCTTTAAGACCCGAGCCCAGGGTCCGATTGTAGATCTTTCCTGCACAAAGAGCAAAGTAGCTCAGAAAGCAGCAAACAAAGTTACGCTTCTCGATGCCAATCGCTCCAAGAACTTAGCCATCACGCTGCGAAAAGCCAACAAAACCACAGAGGAGATCTGCAAAGCAATCGAGAAGTATGCACCTGTTGCACACACAAGTAAAACATAATGAGTTATTGAACAGATGACTGATAGATGTTGTGTTGCGTCAGGTTTGACCTGAAGGCTCTACCTGTGGACTTTGTGGAGTGTCTGATGCGTTTCCTGCCCACTGACGCTGAGGTGAAGGTGCTGCGTCAGTACGAGCGAGAGCGGCGCCCGCTGGATCAGCTGGCCGAAGAAGATCGCTTCATGTTGTTGTTCAGCAAGATCGAGAGGCTCACGCAGAGAATGAACATCATCACTTTTGTAGGGAACTTCGCCGACAGCATCAACATGCTCACGCCGCAGCTCAACGCCATCATCGCTGCGTCGGGTTCAGTGAAATCCTCTCCCAAGCTGAAGAGAATGCTCGAGGTGAGGCGTGCTTAATTACACTCGACTTTTATTTCTAGGTTTCATTCATAAAGAGGAATCATTCATGTTGTCTTTTAGATCATCTTAGCTTTGGGGAACTACATGAACAGCAGCAAACGAGGCAGCGTTTATGGATTCAAACTACAAAGTCTCGATCTGGTGAGTGTGCATCGCCAGCATAAATATACAAACAACACACTTTTGTTGCATTGCTTTTGTCTTTTTAATCCACCCAGCTGCTGGACACCAAATCCACAGACAGAAAAATGACGTTGCTCCACTACATCGCCCTGATTGTGAAGGAGAAGTACAAAGAACTGGCAAACTTTTACAACGAATTGCACTTTGTTGATAAAGCCGCAGCAGGTGGGTTTGCACCAAACGTTTACGGCATTTTTAAATACTTTTGTTCCACTTCCGTTACATTTTCCCTCCAGTATCTCTGGAAAATGTGCTGCTTGACGTTCGAGAGCTGGGCAAAGGCATGGATCTGATCCGGAGGGAGTGTAGTCTCCACGATCACCAGGTCCTTAAAGGTTTCGTCCAGGCCAGTGACACTCAGCTGGACAAGCTGCAGAAGGACGCTAAGGCAGCGGAGGTACCACTGCAAAACAAAAACCCCAGAAAGCACTCACTTGTCCCACTTTCAGCTCACTAATTACTCATTCAGCCGTGGCTCCAAACTCGACAGTGTTTACAAACATTTCTTCCACCCTAACCCCTCCCGATTCTAGGAAGCCTTCAATAGTGTGGTGAGCTACTTTGGAGAGAGTGCCAAGACAACGCCACCCTCCGTGTTCTTCCCTGTGTTTGTGCGCTTCATCAAGGCCTACAAGGTGAGGACAGCAGCCTCTCCTCCTCTCCGTGCGCTGACAGCTTTCTCTGCAGGTCATCTGGGAAGTTCGCTGGTTTGTTTTGAGGCCTATTCAGAGACGAAGACAGTCCTGTTGCCTTTTTGTGCAACAGGACGTGGTGTGTGCAGTCCAAAGGCAAATAACAGGAAAGGCCAGCTGGGTATGACTTTAGAGCTGCAGCTGTGGTGTTTAGACTGCCTCCCCTCTCCACCTTCTACCCTTTAACCCCGGACAACCGCACCCTTCCCCGCCACTCAGCACACTTCCTGGGATTGTTCTCAAACTGGATTTATGGGATCCGCTCAAGGAAACGTACAACACAAAGATTTGTGGGTGCATGTGTCATGTAGAGGGTGTGGTTACATTTTAAAGAGGTGGTTTAACTTAAAATTAATACTATTCTGATTAATTAGCCATTTTGACAGGTTATTTTGCAGAAATTAAACCACAAGGATTAGAAATCTCAAAAAGTAAGATTGCAATTTTAATTTTGACATATGTAAGTTTAGCTGAGTCATTTCTGAAAAGTCTCTTCCTCTCTGGGTTTACTGTAAACAAAATCCAGAAGGGCACACACTATTATTACATCTTCAAATGCTAATAAAATAGGTTATGTTGACAAGATTAGCATCTTAATGTATCACCTGCACAGATAGATGCATTAAACATGTTTCTTAAAGAACAGACTAACTCTGTTAAGTTAAAAATTAAAAACTCCACCAGTGGCCACACACACTGGTGTATGAGAAATTAGTTCCCCGCATTTGACCCAACCCCTGGGGGAGCGGTGAGCTGCAGACACAGCCGCGTTGGGAACCATTTGGTGGTTTAACCCCTCAATGCTGAGTGTCAAGCGAGGAGGCATGGGGTCCCATTTTTCTAAGTCTTTAGGATGACCCAACCAGAATTTGAACCCCCGATCTCCCCGTCCCAGGGCAGACACTCATACCGCTAGGCCACTGAGCTGGTAGCTGGTAGTCAGCTATGTGTGACTGAGCTGATTTGAAAACTCCTAACGAGGCACAGTTGTTGAATGTTGTCACCCACCCACGGCTGCTTGTGTAGGATGCTGATTGATCCAAATTACTGAGCTCTCACCACAAACACGTGGCCCAGAGTCTGGAGAGAGGGCTTCTCCCGTGTTTGCTTTGGGATATTTTTGCTGAGCTGCTGGCTTTTTTTGCATGGGAAAGTGGGTACTAAGATTCACAGAGTCAGTCAAAACTGATGGAAAACCATCTCCTCCCACTCTGCTAACTATCATTTTTAGAATTTTTTTAATTTTTTTTCCAGATTCATTGAAGAATACTTAAATTTTAGTTGGTGTGCTTACCGCAGCATGCATTTGCTGTTTAGTCTTAAACTCTTGACTTGTTTTCTGTGACCACACAAGTCTGTTGACTTGGGTTTATCCAAGATGCAGTTTCACGTTCTGTTGCTCCTCCTCTCAACAGGATGCAGTGGAAGAAAACGAGCTGAGGAAAAAGCAGGAAGAAGCAATGAGAGAGAAGTTACTGGCTCAGGAGGCTAAACAGCATGACCCAAAGGTACGGCACAAGTTCACCGAGCCCCCTCGCGTGCTTATGTTGGTTCTAAATGAAGTCCTGATCATATCCTTCCTGCTGATGCAGGTCCAGGCCCAAAAGAAGAGGCAGCAGCAGCAAGAGCTGATTGCAGAGCTGCGAAAGCGACAAGCCAAAGACCACCGACCCGTTTACGAGGGCAAAGATGGGACGATTGAGGACATCATCACAGGTGGGCCAGAAAGAACCATTAAAGGAGTCCGCGTGGGTGCTAGAAGCACCAGTGTTCCCAGGCTACAGATGACAGTGGTCATTGACTGCTCAGCTCCTTTGAAGTGCACCTTGTGCTACGTCGTGCAGACTCCAGCACATCTGGATCGCAGCGTGTAGCAGCTCCGCAGCTGCTGCTCGCTCCTTGACGGGCTGTCTGAGTCTGAAGCTGAGATGCCTCAGTGTTAAGATAGAAACAGATTTAGGATCCAGATTTGTATTCACTGTGGGGAATTTTATATGTGTTTGGTAAAGATTTGTAATTTTGCAACTGGGAAGATTGAAGTTTAAATGGGATGAAAATACCTGGATGTCCAGCCTCAGCAGAGCCCAAAAGCTTACTGATGTTTCTTCTCAAATAATTATCATCTAAAATGTCAAGTGTATAAATGTTTCATTCACATAATAATCTATAATAATAATAATAATAATACTTCTAGCTGTTTTAAACCAGATGCCCACGAGGAGATGCTAAATGCGTCCTAATCTATTAATAACCTGATGTTTACACGGTTTCTCTTTATGTTTCTTAGCTAAAAGCAGCAGATTTGTACTTTTTCCAGGTTTAGGGTCATTATTAAGGTCTAGTCCACTGCACCCCCACAAGAAAGTCTCAGGTGTGACATGTCTGTTCTCCCCCCTCCTCCTCCCCCAGTCCTGAAGAGCGTGCCCTTCACAGCCCGCACTGCTAAACGTGGCTCACGGTTCTTCTGTGAAGCCAACCTCTGCGAGGACGCCAACTGCTAGCCCTCCCACTCTCTAATGCCAAGGTTGTCCAGGTTTCCCGTACGCCCTTTAACCCCCCCCTCCCCATCCTGCATGTAGCATGGTCCCCCGTCACCCAGCCCGAGTCCAACTCTGCACACTAACCTGGGCCGTCTCTGATTGTTTTTGCTCTTTTGGAGATGACATCTGTGTGAAGGAGGCAGCCAAACCTCTTTGCCTGGCCTCGGCGGAAAAGCAGCTGCACAGAAAGTCAACATGCTTTCATGTGTGTGTAGAAAGAAAAAGATGTTGACTTTCATGCATGGCCCAAACCAAAAGATTCTGATTCTGAAAGAAGAGGTTTGGCTAAAATGCTCTTTTTTATGACCTTGTTCCATGAGACTAACTTGTTTCGGTGTTGGTTTTTCCGGCTAACACATGATTCTTCTTTCCTCAACCACCACTGTTTGTTCTGCCCCCTCCAGCTGAAAAGAAGATTAATGACTGTATTTCCCACTCCTAAAGAGCGGGTAAGGAAGGTAGCCTGGCTGAAACCTGGAGCGCTTGGCCCGCCGGCTCCTGTGTGCTGCTACAAGTGATGTCAGCTGCTTCAGCATAAAAAAAAAGAAAATTAAGCTTTTCAACACAGAAAATCATTTCACTTCACAATAAATTACTGACATTATTAGACATTTCGGACCTTTCAGGAAGCCAGGTAATGTGTCGTAGGGATCAGATTTGCTAACAATCAACAAAACTTCTTTAGTTTTTCCCTCAGAGTTGAACCTTCATTCCCTTAAAGATCATTCTCATCCCTCTCCACAACGTGTTGCATGTCTAGTGTTCGTTTACCTCTCACCTGTCAACGGTGTCCGCCATGTTTGTCTGTGCTAACCATCGTCTGAGGTGTGCTCAACAGCTGTTTGGTCAACAGGCTCAAATCTTTATTATTACAGTCTATGCTTAAGTCATTGCAGCTTTATCGCTGTCCTGGGGACGTTTTAACAAACCAAAGAGCTTGTTGACCACTGTACTATAACTATGTGTGTTTACATTTTATTAGCTCTGCCTTGTGACCGTTACTGTGTTGCTCGCTACAGCTGCATCCCCAAAAACTTGAATTCCTCTGTTTTGTTAAACAGGTGAAATACAAAGTTATGGGAATGTGCCTTATACTGTGGAAACTTTAATTATTTCAGTCCTAATTTGTTAATAGTTTTGGAGAAAAAAATTGTAAAATAAAGACTCAGCTACTATTTTATTAGACTGCCTGATTCATGGGGATAGTTTAGATCTTTAGAAGTGGGTTTCTGTAAAAAGGTTTGAGCAGGTAAGATCTTACCTGATGCAGAGACCTCTTTGAATGACCTCAATTTACAGAAACAGAGATAACCTTTCATCAAAGGCAACAGCTCGTCTAGTCTAGAAACTAAATAGTAGAAACTAAATTACAAATGTCAAGAACAAAGTCTAAATATCATTTTAATGAAAAGGTTTAAGGACATACTCTGCAACTTTTCCATATTTTGAAATGATTTTCTTGAGCCAGCATGTGCTAAAACAAAGATGTGGACTCGAGTCACGTGACTTGGACTCGAGTCAGACTCGAGTCATTATTTCAGTTACTTCTGACTTGACTTGATAAAATCTATAAAGACTTACGACTTGACTCAGACTTGAATGCCAATGACTTGCGACTTGAATCGACTTGCATCTGTTGACTTGATGATGACTTGAGCATATTTGATATTTTAGCACAAAAGTGGCACGACGTGGACAAAAATCATAAATCATACTTGGTTCTTGTACTGCTAAATGCAGCAGCACCTTGTTTATAATCAGTTTCAGTTGCACTTTCTGCTTGTTTGAACAAATAAATGAAGCTTTAAGAAGCTTTATTTCTGGAATTTATTTATTATCATCATCATTAAATTGAAGTTGGACAGATGACTTGATTATGACTTGAAAAATCAGAGTTAAGGACTTGGACTTGACTTGGACTTCCACATCATTGACTTTGGACTCAACTTGGACTTGGTTGTCTTTGACTTGGACCTGACTCAAGACTTGACTAGAAAGACTTGTGACTTGCAAAGAAGTGACTTGGTCACACCTCTGTGATAAATTGACCCTTTACAGAGTTTGTGAAATGTCTCTCAGAACTCTACCGCCCTATGTGGCCAGAATACCACATCTGCAACGTCAGAGTGCTGGTTTGATCCCTTTCGGGCTTTGAGCTGACATACCTAGGTCTGCAGTCTGTATAAACACTGTTTACAATCTTATTTCCTGCTTAAGCTCTATTTGTATAAGCTGCAGATATCTTGAGGTATGCGTGTATGTTTGAGACTCTTATTGTGAAGTAAGTTCTTCGACTTCCTCTGTGGATGCTGCAGCAGAAGTAGCCCAAAGTGTAAATAGAAATGTATTTGCATTAACTGCAAATCGTCAAGTATAAAAAAATTCTATATGTTACTGGAAATGTCTTCAGAATCAATCTGTTTCTCTAAATCGAGGTCAACCAAAGATTTATGTACAGCTAAAATATTAGTTGTTTAGATTTTTACAGAAACCAGCTTATTAAACTGAACTGTTGTTTTAAGCAGTGAAATGCAGCAGAGTTTAAGTCTCTCTCTGTGAACATTGCTTTATCCCCTTGATATTCCCAAATAAAGTGCTTCTGTTGTAGTTGGACCAAATAAGACAAACACTCCTCTTAATTGGGTGTCACTACTAAGATGGAAGCTGAATTTATGTCTCAAAACAAAGATTGTCTTAATTGACTTCTTATTACTCTAACGTGTGTGTCATCCCTTTTTCCTCGCCTACTCACAGATCTCCGAAACCAGCCCTTCCTGAGAGCTGATGCATTGATCCGGAGCGGTTGGAAGAGACCCTAAACCACTTATTCGTCACTTATACTCCCTCCCCCCTTGTAACACTCCTCCCTGTGTTCCAGTGGTCCGTCTCAAACCCCCGAGGCTGCAGATCACAACAAAAGGACTGCAAAGGGGGGGATAGGACAGAGCTCTTGTTTTGGCTGAGTTATTTATTTATTTATGGAGGTCCAATTTGCAGCCACTTTCAGAGGCATCTTTCCAGAACTGCAACAAGGCTGCTTCTTTGGCTTTCTCAGCTCTGTTGGTGCTGAGAGCCCCATCAGTTGGAGGATGACTGCCGGACTGGTGAGGCCTGTTGATGAGTGGTGGAGGAAAGAGTATGTTTTCACTAATAAGTGCCTGCCAGCACATGGATCTTCTCATGGACTTTTTTTCCACACAAAAAGCTGTTTGTTTTCTTGACGTGATGCAGTCGTGACAGGGCTCAGACTGGGAGGCAGCCAGCACTGCTGCTGCTTACGTGTTGGCCTCAAAGACACTTAAAACCTTCCTCTTGTTGACTGATTAATAGCTTTGCACCAAGTCTTAATACATTCAATCAAGATCTTACATGGAAAGTTATTTTGATCGTTTCTTGGAGGAAGGATGGTCACTTTTACTGGTTCTTTTTGACAAGCCAAAACGTCTCAACTGTATTTTGCTGAAGAAGTGCCTTCTGTGTAAACAGTATTATTTCTTGTGAGTCTGCCATCATTTGTTAATTTTGCATCTATTGTTTGTTAAAGATTGTACTATTTTTACTGAAACGTGCTAAACCATATGCCTTATAATACCAACAATGTGCAAGTTGGATTTCAGAAGGCACATGAAGTTGTTAAAGTTGCCTATTATATTTACATCTAAGTCACAGGACTGTGCAAAAGTCTTGAGTTATTTGGGGTGCCATTTTTAAAGTCAAACAGTCATAACTTAACAGCAATAATTTGGATTATTTAGCCTGTCATAAGAAAAAAATGGGAGTTTATTTTTCAAATTTATGTTTTTACCATATGATTCACACAACTAAATATTTAGTTAGCAAGCTAAACATTTCATTCTGGGTTAAATATCATTTTTACAAACTAAATCTTTAGGTCAGACCTAAATATTTAGTTTGTAAAATACATATTTAATTTACTAACTAAATATTTAGTTTGTAAATTAAATATTTTGCTTCAAGTTGCATATTTAGTTATTGAAGTAGGGAAACAAACTAAATATTTAACTTCAAAATAAATATTTATTTTCCACGATAAAGATTTAAATCCCAGCTAAATGTTTTTTTTTGGGGGGGGGGGGGGGGGTAACCTTAATATTTATTTAGCAAACTAAATGTTAAGCCTCAAAATAAATATTTTAAAAGAAAAAAATTTAGCTGGGATCTAAATATTTATTTTAGAAATTAAATATTTAATTTGGAGCTAATTATTTAGTTTGTAAACAAAATTTATAGCTCCAAATTAATTATTTAGTTAGTGAATTAATTGTTTATTATAAAACTAAACCAACTTTAGGTCTGACCTAAACATTTAGTTTGTAAAAGAAATATTTAACTCTAAAACTAAATATTTAGTTGGAAACTTTAACATTTATAAACCATGGTGAAAATGTACTTTTTTCTTTTATGATAGGCTAAATTACCCAAAACAGTACTGTTAAACTATGACTGACTTTCCAAATGGCACCCCATAGAGGCCATTCTAATACATTTAAATATGCTGCCAAAAACACCAAGTGTAATCTTTTGTAGCGGTCTTGATCAAAAGTTCTTCAGATTTAGAAAATTATTAGGAATTTGGCTGTTTTTCACTCATAAAAGTAAGAAAGGATGGATTGTTTGAGGACAGAAGAAGTTTTGGACCTATAGTGTTTTGCAGATGAACAGTATGCAAAAGTCACTTTTTTCATGTTGGTGCAGAAAAACTGTTTTGTGCATCCGATTTTGCTGTATTTAGATTTTTTTTTCAAACATTCCACCAAAGAAATGGGAGAAGTTTGTTTTTTGTGACAGATTCTGCTACCAAAGTGCCTGGACAGAAGATTTTTTTTGTGTAGCTGTCATTGTATTTCTGATTGAATGCCAAAAAAAAAAAAAAAAAAAAAACACCTCTGCAAATGTTCAAGAAAAAGCATTAAAAAAAGGCAGCCCATTAATAAAAATCTGAAGAACCATGGATCAAGACCACTTAAAATATTATTTCTGATATTTTGAAACAAAATATAAAGAAATGAGGGCTGACTTAAGCCCAGTAAGTCCGTGTGCTTTGGTTAAAAAGAGGGTGATATGAGAGTCTTAATGCCTCCGTGTTTTATCTTTATTATAACTGTTAAGGACTGAATGTGAGGAGCGCCTTGACAACACTTCCTGTCACTTTTTAGGTGACATTTTGAAAGTGACCTTGAAGACATTTCCAATTACACATTGAAACTGCCATATGTGTGTTACAGATGAAGGTTGTTCTACGCTTTTATTTTTTGCTCCTAAAGTTGCCTTGGATCGACAACATGGTCACACAACTTCATTTGGCTCACGATTGTATGAGACACTATTCTTTACCTGGGAGAAGCTTATATGAATTTGAATTAAAATGAAACCTACTTTGTAGAAGAAGTGATTCCTTGACTGAAAGATGATACTTCCTGTTTAATAAACACGCTGACATTAGGAAACTATCCAGGAAGGGCCGGCCCAAGCACATAAGGGGCCCTAAGCAGGTTTTCCTATGAGTGTTATTTAATTGTGTCACATTAATTAAACTATTTGAAAGTAACATCACCAGAAAAACACAGAATTTACAGTACATATCTACATTTACTGTTTTTTTGTATTTTAAATTTTGAGCAGATGTGAATAAAAGGTGCAATCACTATAAAATAAAACCAAAAGACACTAGATAAATGAGGCTAAACAAAATAAGAAATAAATTGTTTCTCTGTGTTTACTGTAGTTTAGTCTATATCATTTACAATTACTTTTGAAACGTACACACTATCTTGGTGCTCTTGGGGGGCCCCTGGTGAAGTGGGGGGGGGGGGCCCCAAGCAGTTGCTGAACTTGAGTATGCCTAGGACCACCTCTGAGTCCAGGGTAATGGAAGCAAAAAAGAGCAGGGGGTTCTTCTTTGATGAAGCAACATTCAAAACAAGCAGTTTCTACATGTTTGTTTTATTTAGTTGGTCAACCACGGCTAGACTCTGATGGTTTCAAACGGGAATTAAAGTTCTGCACTTATTCTTCTTTTCTCCAAATGACAGACTCCCATTTCTACTGTAAAAATTCATTTAATTTATTTATGTCAAAAAAATAATAAAAACAATCAGAACCACAAATGTGTGGGTTTGTGCCACCAACAGGAATCGCCCAACTGAAACGTGATTGCTCTAATTTACATAGTCACTTTAACAGAACCTAATGTTAAAAATAAAAGAATACTGCTAAAAAAAGGAAGGATAAAATCAGACTTTCCTCCAAGTTTTGTGTGAGCACCATGCAGAGCGTTTATGGCAGGTATGAGCTTTGTTAAAAGCAGCTTGGTGAGCTGTGAAATACTTAAAAGCAACACTGCTGAGGTTAAAAAACAACAGGATGACAAATGGTTAGCAACAAAGCAAAGGAATTACATAAAGTACAAATCTGGATGCTGATCCGTCTCCTTACTGGGAATGAACTTGGCGAGTAAAGTACATATATTTAAAAAAATATCTCCCACAGAAGTTCGTACCATCAATCAGTCTCCCTGGCGTGTTCTGAAAGCACATCTACAATCAAAATGCTAAATTTCAGCCACCCTCTGCTAGTTGATAATCAAAAGTTTCTCCTCAGTGACTTCACAGACTTCCCTCCAAAAAAGAAACAACAAATATTCTGGCGGAGCGTCACAGCTCCTGTTCAAAGTCCCGCAGTCAGCTCCACCAAGGCCACGGACATCCATCCCAGTCTTCCCATCCTGGAATGTGAACTTAATTACAATCATCTTCATCAACTCACACTGGCATTCATCGCTGACACGGACAACGTCAATTACACAATGACTTCAAAAAGAAAAGTGTAAAAAGGTCAGACTGCTATTTGTTACCATTTGTACTCCTGGGTATATTCTCAAGACACTTGTTTATAAGTTCATATATGTGGAAATATAGAATTTTATATATATTCATATAACTTTAGTCTGTGCAAGCAGGAGAAAGACAATCACTTTAATGTTGAGTCCTCTGTGTGTGTGTGTGTGTGTGTGTGTGTGTGTGTGTGTGTGTGTGTGTGTGTGTGTGTGTGTGTGTGTGTGTGTGTGTGTGTGTGTGTGTGTGTGTGTGTGTGTGTGTGTAGTCGAACATCATGGCAATCCTTGGTCTTCGTGTCTTTTTATACCTCCAGCAGCAAACACACACATGCACACCCAAAGTGGAAGCATTCATAGAGCGCACCGACACAACTCTTCTAACAAAAGACTCAGCAACATTTTCTAGGATGGAACGGTACTCTGTTGTCCCCTATACAGTTCATACAAAAATAAAAAGTTCAGACTGTTCCATAACCATTTGCTTCTCTCTAATCCTTTACATCTAAACAGAGGTAGTGGCTAATATGCACGAGAAAGAGAGAGAGAGTAGGGAGAGTTGTGAGCAGAAATGAAAAAACTGATAAAAGTTTATAAAATGTTTTGTTTTTCCCTCACCAGATTTTATTTTTTTGTCAAAGATCAAAATATAATACTGCAATCACTTAAAAAAGTAGTCCATTGTTTTTGTACATTTTATACAGTGTTCTTGCTTTTTCTTTTCTTTCTTTGTTGCTATTTCTTTTCAATTGATAAAAGGCATAAGATGAGAGCTTGTCGGCTCAGCACTAGGTTCAGGCAAGGCAGGTCGACGCTGGCAGAGTTCAGTTCTGAGTCGCGCTTCATGCCAGCGGGTCGCTCATGTCCTCGTCGCCCTGGGACAGAAGCTCCTTCTTTTCGTCTGTGCTGGCCAGAGAGTTGCAGCTGTTGTGGGCGCCCATGTACAGGGTGGCGTACACGGGGTTGGTGAAGTTAGTGGGCTGCAGGTCACATGAGATTACAACGTTCGTCAGCATGAGGAGCGACAAAGAATCTTTAAATATCCAAGACTAGAAACCAGGAAACAAAGGTAAGAATCAGGATAAATGGAGACGTCATGTTACCTTATCTGGATCCAAAGTAAAGTCTGAATCTAGCAGCTCCCCGGCGTCGTCATCGGGGTCTCCTTCGTAGATTTTATAGGCTGGGTTTCCAATCTCCACGTTCATGGCTCCATTTGTCATTCGGTGGTGCTGAAAGCCCTTTGCTCTGCAGAAAGTCACAAACAAAGTGATTAATCATCTGAAAAACTCATTCAGAGGAGAGACTCTTTCTTTCTGGGAGAAACCATAAATCACAAAAGTCAAAGAGGATACAAAAGCTAAAGTTTACAAGTGAAACCAGGTACTGACTCAGAACTAATCTACACATTAAGACAACACAGGATCAAATAAGCCTTTTCCCCCCAAAAAGGCCATTTGATCAGACTTATCAGTTACGGCATATCCATCATGGAGGATGCTGGATTTTCACCTTGCAAATGTTAGATTATTTGCAGGTTTGTCACATTTTTTTAAACATAAAAGCATCTTTGTACATTTTACTCTGCAAGCACATTAACATTAACATGTTTAAACGAGCAACGAGATGCCTGAGGGATGTCAAAATTCTACTTCAAATCAGTTTTGTGTTTCTGGTGGGGAATCCCTGAGAAAAACAAACAGGAAACAGCAAGCAAGGACAAACCGAACGAAACAAAAACACGGACAAAAATCATATCCAGTCTGTCTTTCACCGAGAAGGGGGGGGGGGGGGGGATTTGTGGGTCAGTGGGTGAATTATTTAACCCTTTTGAGTTACCGCGAGCACCGAGAACGAGATTTGCCCGGGAACACAGACCTGGGAGACAGGAAATAGAGTGTGACACACAAACAGAAGCATGGACCAGGTGGAAGGAAAATCAAGTTTAAATACACATCAGGGCTCACCCGCGCATTCTCCGCTTGTACCACAGGATGGCGCAGACGATCAGAAGGGCAAGCAGCAGTAGCAGGAGAACCGGGATGACGATGGAAGCCGTACCTGTGTGTGTAAATGTGAGCAAACTACCTGAGCAAACGGAACCAAAGTCCATGTTTGATCTGCAAGAACATTACAGGAACTGTGTGTGAGTGACTTACTGCCACTAGAATCAGGAGACTCTGCCGAACTAGCTGCTATGTCGCATCTGTACCCAGTCCATCCAGGCGCACACCTAGACACAAAAACGAGAGGAGGTTCATAGAAGAAACAGAAAGTGTAACACAGTTTTGAGAGAGACGTTACCTGCACTGAGGCAGCAGCGAGCGACTGTCGACTGAACACTGTCCGTGTGAGCAGTAGTCCAAACACGTGAAGCAGCTGGGCTGAGTCTGACCGTTCGGACAGCTGAAGACGAGGACGAGGAAGAACGTGTTTTAGAATCAAACCAAACAAAAAGCTGACGTTTTTAAAAAGTCTACTTTATTTACCTGCAGGCTACTTCCCCAGAGGACAACGTCAAACACTTGCCCACTCCGCAGAACTGGCACTTGTCCAGCTCACACTGGTGTCCGGTGTGCTGTGAGGAGCATCGGCAGATTCTGGCCCCGCTGGACGTCTGTAGGCAGGTTCCACCGTTTTGACAGAATCCCTCACATTTACCTGAGAGGGAAGAAACGCTGTGAAATGTCCCCGATTCCTCTGCTTTCACTCATTTATGTTCTAGATCAGTCTGCCCATTTTATGGTCAGATACAAGAACCAGGCAGTAAATCAGTGACGGAACCAGCAGGATGTGAAAGTGCTGCCACTCACTGTACTGGCACTGGTCTCCCTGGTAGGCTGGCAGGCAGCTGCAGGTTGGCTGGTTGCCCATGTTGACTGAACAGTTTCCACTATTCAGGCAATAATCCTGACAGGTGTAGAGGTTACAGTAGGGTCCAGTGAACCCTTTAGGGCATCTGCAAGTTGGTGCTCCTGCAAAACAGATCAAATCTGGATAAGACATCCCGAACGCGACGAAATGAACAACTGCAGTTGCTACCTTGAGTCCAGTTCTCTTTATAATAATCAGAATAAAACATGCAGTCTGAGCTGAGATTGGAAACTGTACATTTTTTTAACTAATCATGAATAATTGTACATTGATGAATGAAACGTATGTCATTTCAAGCCAGAGTTTAAAACTGGGATCAGCTTACATAGTCCAAAGTAGAGGCTGACCAATATATTGGGCCGATACATTCAATCTATTCTATATCGGCCGTCGGCTGAAATTATTTTAAAAAGGTGATCAAAAATAATAGAAATCAGGCGTCTTTGCCATTGTTTACACCTAAGGGAATATTCCACCCCTAAGTAAAATGTGCCTGTTAGATTTCCCAAAGTTAGATGAGTGAGCTAACAAGCTCAGTTATTTTCCTGATCTGAAATCAGTAAGTTTTACTTTAGCTTAGCATAAAACAATGTAAGTTCTACGCTAGAACCTTCCTTTTACTCACTTATCTAACAACAGACTAAATGTTACTTCTGAGTGGAACATCCCATTAAGTTTGCTGTTTAATGTTTGAACTATTTTTTATGTATAGTTTAGATTTTATTTTTACTGCAGTGTGGTGGTGTGATTTACTTTGTAATTTTTTAAACTTGAAGATTCTACCTCAACCAGCCACTGTTTTGCACCATTATTCTGTTTGATTTTCCTTTTTTTTTTTTTACAGTTTGCACATTGTTAATGTTTAGAGTTTGTTTTATATTTGAAGATCAATAAATATTAAGAGATTTATTGACTTATTTCCTTTATATTGAACACAGTGAGCATTCAGTTGTGTTTCACAATCAACGTGCTGCTAAAACGTGTGTATATCAGCCTTAATAATCAGCTTTAGAAATTGGCCTTCGACAACAAAATTCTTTAAAAATCGGTATCGGCCTCTAGTCCAGAGATAGAGTAAGAATTTATCCGCCTGTTCATCATGGCAATGAAAAGACTGGGCGTGAAGACCCAAAGGCGAGCGAGTCTGGATGGAGGTAGTTGTACCCGTGTGGGAAGCAGAACAGGTGCCTCCGTTCTTGCAGTAGTCCCTGCACTGGTTGACCTCACACCGTTCTCCAGAGTAGCTGGGCTGGCAGTGACACTTGGGAACCTGCCGGGCGTTGAGGAAGCAGCTTCCTCCGTTCTGACACTGTATGTTGCAGGGTCCGGAGGGCGGAGCTGTGGAGGGGGTGGAGGTAATGTTTTTATACAATCTCCAAAGTTGTCTAGAGCAGAGAGATGCAGCTGTACATGACTGCACACACACACACACACACACACACACACACACACACATGTGTGCAAACTCACAGAAGGGTGACTGAGTGGGGCTGGTCCTCTCCACACACGTCCCGTTGTTGGCGATGTAGTTGTTGGGGCAGGTGCAAACCGGCCCACTGGGGCTCAGCAGGCACAGCCACTCGCACTTCTTCTTGTCACATGGGTTAGGTACTGGGGCAGAGAGGATCAACACACTCGGTAGGAAAAAAAAGACTTCTGCAACTTTATACATAAAAAGGGTTCAATTACTTACTGTCTGGCTGCTTGTAACGGTGGTACAAAACGATGTCGGTGGCATGGTTGATGCCTGTGGTGAGATTCTCCATGGAGCCTTTCCCAAACTTGTTGACCCGGAAGACAAAGTTGTTCATGTAAGTGACTCCATATATGTAGTCCTCAAAGATATCTATGCTGAAGGGATGGAACAGATCTAGAAATGAGACAAAAAGAAAATTATGTTTGGTTTTCATGTTGAAACTGTTCTGCTTTCTGAACACAAGTTAATCAAGTGCAGCTCAACTGTTTTTGATGCCAGAGACAGCTATGATTGGATCAGAACCATCCAAACGAACGCTGCCGATGACGGAAAGTTTGGCATCAGCCCAGTAAAGACGCTCGTTGAAGTAATCCACAGCCAGACCTGCAGGAGGAGGAAAATAAAGATGGTGAAAGGCTGAGTGTTTGGGCTTTAAATGGGCCGTTCAGGGCTTGTGCAGAACGAACCTGTCGGCCACTGGATGTTTTCATGGACTAGAGTTTGTCTCAGGGTGCCGTCCATGGCAGCTGTCTCAATTTTAGGGTGATTTCCCCAGTCTGCCCAGTACATTGTACTAAAAGAACACAAGTCAGGTGCCAACTTGATGATTAAAACCCCTCCAAAAATGAATGATTTATAAATCTAAAGCATCTCTCACCTTCGTTGTGGGTCCACTACAATAGCATATGGCTCATCTATCATGCCAGAAATGAGGGTTTTACAGTGCTTGCCCGATATCTGAGCCACCTCGATGACATCCCGACCAGAGTCGGTCCAGTACAGGTTCCCTGCCACCCAGTCCACAGCTATACCTCGAGGCATCTTCAGCTCTTTGATCTGTGTGTGAGCAGAAAGGCTTTCATGGATGTGTTTGTGGTTGAGGGTCTCTCCACATATCTGACCTTCTTTACCTGCAGGTCGGTGATCCCACCCTCGGTCTGGCGGCGGTTCTGGGGGGAGTTGGAGGAAGATGCGGACGCAGATGACCCAGGGAGCTCGTGGGAAGAGATGCGGCCAGTGTGCCAGTTGGTCCAGAAGATGCGGTTTGTCTTGACGTGCACATCCATGGCATCGATTCTGACGCTGGCGTCTCCCTGGTAGATCTGCTCATAGCGCCAGTTTGGCATTCCAGGATCCAGGCTCCGGATTTCATTGTCATCGGCTATGTAGAGGATCTGTCGGCTGCTGTTCATGCCTGGAAGAAGAGGAGAGGGAAATAGAGGCAACAGAGGTCTAATTTTTAGTTCTGCAAATGAAAAGAACCCATTGAATGATGGTTAGCATGGAGCGGTCCGCACTGTCAGCCTTGCAGGTGTCATTAATCCTGGTGTAGTACTTGTAGCAGCTGCATTTGTACGAGCCTTTGGTGTTGTTGCAGATCTGGGAACACACTCCAAACTGTAGACACTCATTTTTATCTGGATAAAGAAAAAAAAACTCTTTATTCTGAACTGTTAACATCATCGCAAAGCCAGCATGTTCTCTGCGCACCTCCGCATGTGTGGTGTCCCGTCTTGTGGAAGCCCGGTTTGCAGGAGCAGAAAGAGTCCGTGCCGTTGGTGACACAGTGGGCCTCGTCTCCATCCCCGCACTGAGTACTGTTACTGCGACAGTCATTCAGCTTGGTGTCTGAAAGCAGCACACGCAAATGGACGGTGAGACCGAACACCTGCAGATGTCTCAGACCTCAGACGGGTGAAAAGTAACCTGTCTTGCAGTTGATCTCATCAGACCCAAAGTCTTCACAGTCATTAAAGAAGTTGCAGCGCAGGTTGGAGCTGATGCATCTGCCGTTGGAGCACAAGAACTCGTCCTTCTCACACGTGGGGGCAGCACGGTGGCTCTCTGAAATAACAGACATGTTAGGAATCACGGCGGAAGATTTCACTAATCTACTCAGAAAACTCCAAATCTTACCACAGTTCAGTTCATCCGAGTTGTCTCCACAGTTACTGACGCCATCACACCTCTTTGACATATGCAGACACACTCTGTCGTTCCTGCAGCGGAACACTCTGGTGGGCGGACACTGAAACGTTCCTGGCAGACAGAGAGAGAGAGACAGAGAAAGAGAGAGAGACAGAGGACGATGAGGTGAAGATGATGGCTGACGAGACATTTAAACATGTGTGGGAGTTAAAAAGCTGAACATACTGCAATCTTCTGGTTTCTCATCAGAGTTGTCCCCACAGTCATCTTCTCCATCACATTTCCAGGCATGCGGTTTGCACATAGTGTTGTTGCACTGGAACTTATTTTGAGGGCAGTAGCGTGGAGCTAAGTGGGAGAACAATAAGGAGGAGGCTCGTGTGAGGCGCTCTTGCAGGTCTGTAAGTGTTTTCATTCATTTCCACAAACAAAGGCTGACCGGCACTGCTGCAGTTCTGCTCATCGCTGCCGTCGAGGCAGTCGACGTCGGCGTCACAGCGCCAGCGGATCGGGATACAGTGTCCGCTCTTGCACTGGAACTGGTCGTTGTCACACTTCAGATCACAGCCATGCTACAGACACAGAGATGCAGTTTTAATATAAAAAATAATTTAAATAACGCCACAAGCAATAACAATTATGCTTTTTATTATTTTTCCTTGCAATTTTGATCGTAGAATAAAAAAATTAAAAAACATACAAGAAACGCTCAAAATGAGCTTTCTAGATCTAATTAAACATGCAAAAAACACTTAAATAATTTTAATAAAGCCATAATAACTCAACTTTTCACTATTTTTTACATGATTTTTTTTACTGCAAAACAGAAGAGCAACTGAGTTCTGTGAGGATTGACTCGTACAAACTTAAAATAAAAAATGTTACAAGGCATTTAAACATTTTTCATTCATATTTGTTGAAATTAGGTAAAGCAGCTTTGTTACATTGATGTAAGCATCTAAATTGTTCATATAAAACCATTTTTACAAGAAAAACTGCATTTCTTATAAAAAATAATTGTAAACCTCCTTAAACATGAAAAGCACACATGAAAAAACTTTGTACATTATGCAACATGAACATGAAGCCATTTTTTATTTCATCAGCATTAAAACGGTTCCCTTTTCCAACAATCTACATTAAAAACACCAGAACTTCTGGTTTCATCACCTCATCAGATCCATCAGCACAGTCGTGATCTCCATCGCACTTCCACCTCCCGGCAATGCAGCGGCCATTCGTGCAGGCAAACTCGCTTTCCGAACACTGGCGAGGCACTGCAGAAGAAACAGGGTCAGTTAAAAATCTCACTAAGATCTAAGCTTTTAATCAAAACAATCACAAAAACAAATAATATATAAATATGACTGTAGACACCTGAGAGGCTGAATTTACTGATATTTAGTCTAAAAGTTTGAATCATAACAGATAATAGTAAAATTTAAGTGGCATCTGGAGTAAGAACTACTAAATCGATAGATTAACAGTTCATCTTGCAGACTCTCAGGGGTCAGAGGTCACAGCAGGACATGAGGATGAGACTAGCAGGAACGTGAAGACACAACAGAGATGTTATGAGGTGGAGCGACTTACCTCAGGCTCATACCAACAGGACAGTATGAAATGAAACAAATATCAGATGATGTGAGATGTTAAAGAGACGACAGTGGGCGACAATGAGTTCGCTCTGAAGCTAACTCGACATGTTAAAAAGTGCTAATCGAGAATGTTAGCAGCTACTGACAATTTCAGCTGTCAAAGTGACACCTACGGCATTTTTCTTCATCCGAGTTGTCCCCGCAGTCGTTGTCATAGTCACACTGCCATCGGCCCGGCACACAGCGGTTATTCTTACACCTGAACTGGTACGGTTCACACGTCCTCTCAGCTGCGCAGGTGTAAACAAAACGATCAAGAAAAGCAAAAGCATAATCCAGCTGGAAACATCGGGTTTGTTATCAGAGCAGAATCTTCTCACCACACTCCTCTTTTGGCTCATCTGAAGAATCGCTGCAATCATCCTCTCCGTCACATTTCCAGCGAGCTGGGATGCAGCGCCCCGAGTCTTTGCATCTGAACTCATCCACGCCACAGGTCATCTGGGCTGGAGTTAGGACATAGTCACACTGGTGTCCATATAAAAAAATCAGAATAAGCTCATCTGATCAAATGCAACTGGAATCCTACTGCAGTTGGCAGGTTCATCGGATCCATCCACACAGTCGTTGTCCCGGTCGCACACCCAGAGACGAGGTATGCAGCGTTTGGTGATGGCACACTGGAACTGGGTGGGAGTGCACGTAACCTCCGCTGTTAGAAGAAATAAACGTTTAGGTAAAAATGTGTAAAAATGAGAGGAGAAGTTCGTGAGAAAGAGGGTGACTCACGGCAGTCCTTCTCATCCTCCCCGTCTCCACAGTTGTCCTGGCCGTTGCAGCGGAAGATGCCAGGGATGCAGCGGCTCGGGTGGGAACATTTGAACTGGCTTGGCAGGCAGACGTGGATATCTGGGAGGGCAGATGTGCTGATCAGTCACAAACAATAAGACATTCACTTGACTAAACAGCATCTTTATTTTTACTGTATTGTTTCTATAAACATGTTTTTTATTTTTATTGAATGTAAATATAATTGATTTAAAAAGCAGCACAGAAAAAGAGCACGCACCACAGTTGGCCTCGTCTGAGTTGTCCTGGCAGTCGTCGTCTCCGTCACAGATGTAGGCCGGGTTGGTGCAGATGCCCGTTCCACACTGAAACTGTCCCGGCCTGCACTTGAAGTCCGCTTAAAAAAACAAGTCATTACATTGTCAAAGGTTTGCTAAAAAATTCAGAACATTTGGAATACTCCCAGCAGAAAAGCCCTTTTCATGGTGTTCTACATTAAAGTTGATGCTGCACGACACATTTAAAACTTTTACACCTTCTCAGACACTTACGACACTCTGCTGGCTCGTCTGACCGGTCGCCACAGTCATCCTCTGTGTCGCATTTCCACCAGAAGGGAATGCACTTATCGTTCTTGCAGACAAACTATGAGAGAGCGAAAAATGAATCATAGAGACGATGCGGCTAGAGCCAGTTTCAGCGCTGATGACGGGAGCAGATGGAAGCTACTTCGACACTGGAGAGTCAGTGAGCTGCTGATGAATAAGCTGCGATTAGGTCACAAGGTCACGCTGAGACATTAGAATACTTGAAAGTTTTAAAAATCAGGACAATAAATAATCAGATTCTCATCGTTTTTTAAATTTAGGTAAATAAAACTTTACTTAAACAGCAAACTGCAGCTTGATATTTCCTCAAAATAAAGTTGCATAAAGGTGTGCAGGTATTATTTATGCAACATTGCAGTCAGGTAGAGGTCTAGACTCTGGATGTTTTTTCACCAATTTGATGCTTTTGGAGCAACCCAGTGTAATGCAATCTCCAGCAGTGTGTCAGTCTCATTAAACTAGAGAATACTTTGATATGCAGAAGAGTCAGCAGCTCACAAAAAAGAGATCAGGTCACGTGGCCAAAACACCAGCCCACATCACCACCTCTCCACCACCGTACTTGACAGATGCCATCACTAACTTTAAAGCAAAAACCACACTCCTGTCTGTAATCCAAAAAATACCTGGCTGGCTGTGCAGTTGGACATGCAGGTTCGCTGATCATTAGCCAGATAGAAGTTGGTGGGACAGGCACACTTGTAGCCTCCATCAGGTGAGAGGAGGCAGAGGTTGCTGCAGCCACCGTTGTTCGTCTGACACGGGTGGTTGAGCACTGAGCGAGAGAGAGAAAGAAAGATGGAATCACAAGGAACCATTACAAAACTAGTAAAGCTGTAAAAATGTTTTTGTTTTCATGCTCCACCCCGCACCCGGTGGCTGTCGGTAGGGATGGTAAATGTGGATGTCCATGGGTCGATGCAGGGTGTTGATCAGGGTGGTCTTATTGGTGCCCAGAGTCTTGTGAGCTCTGTTGATGGACTTTGTCTCCCAGTCAGTCCAGTAGATGTACTCCTCAAACAGGGTCATGGCAAAGATGTGAGGGATGTCGCTGCTGAGAACTGTGAAAGCACACAAAAGTGATTTAACCCCATTTTGAGCTAACAGCAGAGTCCTACTGAACCAGATCTGAAAGTCTAAATTCAGTGTGATACTTCTGGGACTGCATCGGTGATTTATGGCCGTAAATAATGTCTGATGCTTCTTTCACAACGAGAAACTTCCTGCTCTGCTAATGTAAAACTACAGCTGGGTGAGGCACAAAGCCACAGTGACTCCATTGTATCTGCATTTTGCATTACCTCATTAGACTGCATCTTGTGCCTGCTCTTGAAAGTTTGAGGCTGGCGTGTTTCAGAAACACACCAAAGTCATTTAAATATCACACACGTTCACACATCTGCACGAGACAACACACAGGTGCGAAACATTTTTGGTTTTGGTATTCTGATTTTCATTCATAGCCTGTATTTCACAATTAAAACAAGATGGCACAATCAGGAGGAGTTTAGATATGAAATGTTAGCCAGATTAGATTGAAGCGCCCTTGAGCCTGTTTATCTGAACACAAACAGAGCCAGTCTTGTTTCTTAAACACATCCATCTGGGTTTAGGGGCCAGATTGAAGCCAAGATCACTGATAGACCATTATAAAGCTAAGATATAATCTGTTAGGATGAAAAGCTGTAGTCATCTAGAACACGAGCAGTTTTCATTAACTATGCACTATTTTCACTGACTCAACAAAAGAAAATGGTTTGTACTGTATGTGCTAGTCTAGATTGTAATGAATAGGAGAAATTTGAAAATCGACACTGCATAATATCTTCACACTGACGGTAAACAACAGAATGATATGATCCAGTCGTTTGGTCAGCTAAACAGCTCATTTATGATGATCTTCAGTTTTCTGGGTTTCTGTCTACTGAGGCTCTTTTGCAATATTCTGACCAAAGTAAAACTTAGAAAGAAAATGTTTGGATTGTCTGACAAAACATGGATCGAGGCTACTTTAAACAGGAAAGGCTGGCTCCTGGGAAACAAGCTTACAAAAAAAAAGATCATTTTTGCACAGTCATGCAAATGTTTGCATATCCAGGATCGATAAAGTAGGGGTTGCGATTTCACATCAGAGTTTTGATGTGTTTCTAGTCTGCCTTTATGTGTTAAACCTTTATTGTGTTACCCGTGTGCCTGCTGGAGCCATCCAGGCTGGCAAACTCGATGTAGTCCTCTCTGGCATCGGCCCAGTAGATACGATCATTGATGAAGTCCAGAGTTAGTCCGTTGGGCCAGGTGATCTTGTCCTGGATAATAACCTTCCTGCTGGTGCCGTCCATCCCGATTCTCCCAATGTGAGGGTTGTCCCCCCAGTCAGACCAGTACAGGTATCTATCCAGAAGGTAATACAGTTAAGATTTTAATTAAAATTGTTCCTGATATGAATAAAACGATTTAAAGTTGGATTAATGTTGCTCACCCGTAGCGTACATCCACAGCCACGGCGCGTGGCTCCCTGAGGCCGCTGTTGACCAGCACGGTCCTGTAGGCTCCGTTGAGTTTTGAAACCTCGATTGTGTCCCGGCCTTTGTCACACCAGTACAAGTTCCCACCAACCCAGTCTACCGCCAAACCATCCGGGTTACTCAGGGAGGTCCGATGCAAAACCTGTCAGTTGGATCCGCCAAAAGGAAAAAAATGTTCTTATCGAACCCCGAAAATCAGAGTTAAATTTAACTGTCGGATTTCCTCACCTCCATGCTGCTGCCGTTCATGTGCATGCGGCGGATCATGCTGCCCTGAGTGGTAACATCAGTCCAGTAGATCATCTGCTCTGCGTAGTGGAAGTCCAGCGCCACTGCGTTATTGAGACCCTAAAAGGATGAGGCAGGAACATTAATGATTCCTACTGAAGTCTTAACTATAATAGCGTCTAACGAGAAGTGTGCGTCTCACCTGCTTAATGAGAGTGTAGTTGGATCCATCCAGGTTGAGTTTTCTCAGGTAGTACCGATTTGCAAAGATCAAATAGGGCTCCACTTCTACTCGCAACCAACACAAAACCAACATATTACACAAGACCGGACAGCTGACGAGTAACCAGTGAAGTATGACCACATACCTGATGTGGACTTGCAGATGGTGGGGTCGTTGGGGCTGACTTCAAACCCATCCACGCAGAGACAGTGGAAGCTGCCGTGTGTGTTCAGGCAGTGCTGGGAACAGGGGTATGTGGTCGTGCACTCGTCTATATCTACACACATCTTCCCATCACGCTTCAGCTGAAAACCAGGATGGCACCTGCACTGAAGGGGCGAAGCAACAGACGAGATGTCTCAAAATCGCTCAGATGAGCAGATTCTGGAGACTCACCTCCCATCTGGACTAGTGCTACGCTTCAACAGCAGCTTCCCATCTGCTCCACTGCTGTCTAAACTGAAGCTATTGTATAAAAAACTATAATAAAATAGAGCTGAGGCTGAGAAAATAAGCATTACATTTAAAAAGCGTAAGCGGATGCTGAATCTGTTATTAAAACACACTCCTATCAGAATAAAATAAACATAGTAAATAGATCGGGTCCTTTCACAGGAAGCCCCAATCACAAACAAGATGGCAGATATAATAGTTCAGACAGAGTTCACGTTGTCCCTGGACTGGCCTCCAGCAAGCAGGACCAAGAGCCAAAACACGTCTGAGTTACATAACCGCGGCTCACAAGAGACAGGGTTCTAGACGTTTTTATCAGCTCCTGATAAACAGCTGATGCTTTTTTTGTCTGTCAACGCTGCTATCTCAGTGAAGGTCTACTAAATGCTTAGATTATTCGTGACTCCATGAGTGAGAGCTGGATGTCTTACTTTGAAGCCGATCTTAAGATCGTCGCAGAGCTGCGAGCAGCCGCTCAGCTTGCTGCTGAGACACTCGTTGATGAAGCAGTTGAGCTCATCAGATCCATCGCCGCAGTCGTCATTCCGATCGCACAGCAGAGTCTCGTTTAGACACTTCCCGTTACGGCACATGAAGGCTGAATCATTACAGGTCCTCTCTGAAACAAACAAACAAACAAACAAACAAAAATCCTGTTAAATATGCATCAGCTCAACTTTCTTTCCTTACTTTAACAAAGTTGATTTACCCCCAAAAAGTTATATATCTGAAACTGATAAATGACCCCTAATTTTATAGAACTTGATTAAAATTTATGAGGAGCTTCAAAGTGTTTAAATGTTGCCCTCATTGTTTAACTTCACAAAAGTAAAAGCTAAGAGAGTCAACAGTGACAGGTGTGCTGTGGTCTGGTCATGGTCAGCCGATGGTCTGCTGACTTTTTGGGCCAATTTTCATTGCTGATATTTAGGCGTTTCCACCTTACCCCGGCTTTCCACAGGAGCCATCAGCAGCACGTTACTGCAGCAGCATGTCATAGCTGCTGATAGGAACCGCTGTGGTCAACAGAACCTTTTCCACTGGAGCCGTCAGCAGCCGTCAGCAGCGCGAGTCGGCCGCGTCTCAGGAGCAGCATGTCGCGGCCTTTACGCGCCGGTTCTATTTTCTACGCGCGACACCTCTGAAACGGGTCAAGTTCGACATTTTTGGGGAAGGAAAGACAGGAAATTGGACGCGGAAATGGAGAGAAGCTCCCGAGATTTTCAGAATAAAGAACGTACTGCCTTCTGGTTGCTTTACTTTAAAAAAGGTTACTAACTGTGCGGCCCCGTGAGAAGTTATCACCTAGCTAGTGGTCTCCTTTGTTTTTCAGGTCCGTATTGGCGATTATAAAACGGACAGAACATAAAACACAAACCATGTTGTAGTTTTCTCCTGCTTGAAGTTGTGTTTACTGACGAAGTCACTCGAGTGACTTCGTGCTCGGTCGGTGACAGCTGCTCCCCTGCTGCTTCGCGTCTCGTGGGAAGGGCCAAGCAGCAGCTTACGCGAGCAAGACGTGCTGCTGCAGTAACGTGCTGCTGACGGCTCCCGTGGAAACCCGGGGTTACTTTCATACTAAAAGGTCACTAAAAACATCAGTTCATGCACAACATTTCTGAAGCTGAACACTGAATTTCACCAACTGTTAAATCTTAATTTTACGCACTGCTCAGTGTTAAAATCTGACATCTTGAAAATAATTTTAGAGCATTTGCCATTCTGATGTTTTTCAGGAACGTAAAAATACATTTAAATTCAATTCAGCAGCAGCACTGGGCTGCCCGTGGATGTGCCTGACTTTACACCAGCTTTAAGGAGAAATATCGGGCTGATGCCGATTTATAAAAAAATAGTAAATATCGGTGGGATATATCAACCAGCTGATATATGGGTCTACTGTCTGTCTGGACCTTCTTGCATCCTTTGAAACAGAACGCATCATCCATTATTTTTGGTTCTTATCCATACACAGAGTGGAAAAGCTTTGTTTTTACCTTTATGCTGACAGTTTCAGCTCCTAGCTGAATGCAGCATCATTAGAGAAAAGAAGGACTAAACAACTCTACCAGAGTCAACGCAGCGAGGGTTCTTGGGAGCTTCATCAGAATGATCTGGACAATCAAATTCTCCATCACATTCCCACTTCTTCTGGTTGAGGCAGCGACCGTTGGCACAGCGAAACTCGTCTGGGCCGCATGGAGGGTATTCTACACAAAAACAAGAAACTCAGCCGCTGGTAGAACAAAAAATACACTTCAAGGAAAACAAAAGAATCCAGAATCACGTCTTTCCATGGATGCAAAGTAAAACTCACCACATTCTGGGGATTCATCTGACCCATCAGAGCAGTCAATGTCATGGTCACAGACAAAGTGCTTGGGGATGCACTGCCTGTTCTGGCACATGAACTCATTCTTGACGTCGCACGTATTGTTAGTATACACTAAAAGCAGAAAAGAACGGGTGTGAAACAGTTTCTGTATTTATAACCAGAGCCACCATCTGGGTGACCGTTTCACTTACTGCAGCCAGCTTTAACGCTCTCATCAGCACCATCAGGACAGTCTTTATCGCCATCACACTTCCAACGCTGGGGCACACACACATGAGAGCCTGGGCACTGAAAAACCTCAGGGCTGCATGTCTTATTTTCTATGACATCATGAAAAATGGGAAAACTGAAAGAACGCAACAACACGACTGACTACATTTGATAGCGGGGTAAGAAACAAATCACAATGTACCACATTTCTGGTCTTCGTCAGAACCGTCGCCACAGTCGTCAGAGCCGTCGCACACCCAGTGGTTAGAAATGCAGCGGTGATTACCACATTCGAATTGGGTTGATGTGCAGAATTTGTCTGCAAAGTAAGAAAACACCCTCAAACAGTAAGCTTCTATGTGCAGCAGAAAGCCAAAAGAAAAAGGCTAAACTAGTTTAAAGACTTACCACAATGGGTTTCATCGGCTCCGTTCTCACAGTCATTCTCCTTATCACAGGTCCAGCTCATAGGAATACAACGACCGCTGGGACAAGCGAAGAAGTTGACCGGACATTTCAGCTTCATTTTATCTACAAAGGATGAGAAAAATAAACAGCTGGATCTCCCAGACACTAAGGAAAACAGAAAGTATATCAGAGAAGAACAAAAAGAACACCAAACCTGGACAGTTTCTCTCATCTGAGAAGTCTCCACAGTCATTGTTGCCGTCACACACCCACGAGGACAGATAACACAGAGTGGTTTTCTCACAGCTCTGGAAAGAGGCTCCTTTAACTCCGAGACGGAAAAACCGAGAGCAATCGGTTGGTTCTGAAAAAACAGACAAATATCTGTTAAAACCACATCTCCATCATGGAAAACCCCTCCCAGCCACTGTGGAGGCCATGGGCAGCTCCTTAAGTGGCAGATTGAGACATTCAAGATGTAAAACAGAACGCTACCATAGGTCATTCATTCCCACTGCAGTAAGAGTGTATAACTCCACAGGTGAACCCGTACTGGCATTATCCCTTTTCACGCTAACATCAATGCAAAATTCAGAATATGTGTAATACCTATGAAATACTTGGGTGCATATTCATATGTTTTCTATTTTTATTCATTCTTAATTGCCAAAGCTTACAATAAAATCCCACTGCCTGTGTGCATTTCCCTGTATTTTTTTTCTCTGAGTGTGTGTGCTGCTTAATGAGTAAATTTCCCCATGTGGGATCAATAAATTCTATTCTATTCTATTCTATTCTATTCTATTCTATCAGCAAAGAACAGACTGTGAAATGACATTTGCTTGACTGGATAAAATCCATCTTTTAAAAAAGAGGATAAATAAATACATACGGCAGTTCATTTCATCACTTGCATCCTCACAGTTGACCACCTGGTCACAGCGACTGAAGTTGGAGATGCAGCTTCCATCTTTGCACTGGAACTCTCCTGTTTTGCACAGAGTCACTGCAACAAAAACAAGGTGCTTAGAAACATCAACTACTATGGAAAAATCAAAACTCCCGATTTACACATTTCCCATATCAATTAAAGATTAGATTAAAAATCCTTTCAGAACCATGTTTCTGACAGCAATAACCCTGGATCACTAAAACCTGATGCTTGATTAGCAACATTAAAGCAGTACTGTGTTGAGAAAAGACACCTTACAACATCGAAAACATTGATTTCCTTACTATTGCAGGGCAGTTCATCTGAGTGGTCTCCACAGTCGTCTGTGCCATCACACCAGAACTGGTGACCGATGCAGCGGCCGTTCATGCAGCGTCTATAGCCTTTTTTACAAATGCGATTTGCTGCAGAGGAAATATGAAACCAAGTTGGCTAATGGTGCGCAGATCTAAATTAAATGCATACTATGCAAATTTTTCATTTTTAAAAAACATTTTCTTGAGTCATTATGTGTTAAAATGACCCTTTACAGGGTTAATGAAATGTCACCCCACCGCCCCTGTGGCCAGAATATCACGCTTGCAACTTCAGAGTGCCGGTCCAATCCCTGTTGGACGTAGTAAAGTGGAGCTGACATGCTAGCATTGCAGTCCTAGCTCCAGCGTGTTTTCTGCATTTCAGCAATTAGATGAAGGTGTTAAAAAGACTAATGCATAGCAAGGAGATAAGTCTCACTAAAATCTAGCCAAAACCGCTTATCCCTTTAATCCCGTAAATAAAAAATAATATAATGATTAATCAGTTTTACAGATGAACCAAACTAGCATAAACTACTGGTTGCATCTAACTGGTGTTTCAAATGAAGTACTGTGGTTCTATATGTTTCTAATAAAACCAAAAGCTTTTATTTAGCAAAGGAGAATAAAAACCTGAACAAACTAATTCCAAGTCAGATTATCTCACCACAATATGACTGCTTCTCGTCAGACTTGTCCTTGCAGTGGGCCATCCCGTCACAAGTGAGGCTGTAGTTGATGCAGTCACCGTTCCCACACTCAAAATCATCAACACTTCCACACGTCATGTTCAGCGCTGGAAAGGTGAAAAAAATGCACATTCAAAATTCTCCATCTCTCTGAGGGGAAAGCTTTCTCCTCGTAAATACTGATGGGATTTGTTTTGGTGTCTCTTACAAGAGCAAGTGTTATCTTCCAGAAGTTTTCTTTCTCCACGGCAGCTGCAGTTGACCCGTCCATTCGACGTGGGCAGACACAGGTCCTGACAGCCTCCGTTATTCACTCGGCATGGAGAAAACTCGCCTGAGTAGCACAGGAGAGAAAGATATGAACTCATGTATCACCTGCAGCAACACCAAAAATTTGAACAAAACTGAACACCTGGCATGTATTTCTAAATCTTTACCACAAAACTTACTCATTGTAAATGTAAAAATTGTTCCTTCAAACGTTGCTGAGGTTTTATTTTTATTTAATAAACAGACGACCAACATCTTTTTGATCTTTACCTCAAAAAGAAATAAATGAAAATCAGCCTTTTGTTGTCCTAGAAGTCCAGTCAGAAGTTATTTTATCTAAATGACTCCAGTGAATGATACTCACAGCTGTTGGTGTCATTAGCCACTGCGATGATACCCATCGGCTGCTGAGGGATGTCGGCTCGCAGCACTTTCATGTCTCCTCCTGTGAACTTGTCAGCCCTGAGGACGGCCCTCCTTACCCAGTCGGTCCAGAAGATGTAATCTCCATATACGGCCAGGCCAAACGGATGGACGGGCTCATTCTTCAACAGGACCTGGAGCAGAAATAGTCACTCAGGAGTCAGAAATAGTCTGTTTTAACAACATAAAGTGTGTCCATGCTTTGATAGCAACAACAAATGAAAGGGAAGTCGTACATAACGATTGCTCCCGTCATATTCACAGCGTTCAATCTTGTCCAGCGTGGCATCAGAGAAGTAGAGCTTCTCAGCACGGTGATCTATGGCCAGGCCGTTTGGAGTTTTAATGTCACTGCCGATGATGACAAGAACGTTGGCTCCGTTCAGAGAGGCCCTCATGATGCTAGGGGCCTGCTCGTTCCAGTTTGTCCAGAACATCAGACTACGAAGGGAATAAATAGCAAAAAAAAGCATCGTTATGAGCACTGAGAGGTCCCAAAAGGGCCAGCTGAGCCCAAATAAATCTGTTGCGTAAGAGGAAATGAAAAAAAATGAAGCTTGGTTATGATCAAGCGCAGAGCAGAAAAATTTGGCGATAATGACTCACTCCTGACACTCGTCCAACACAAACGCTCTGGGGTGGTCTTCTCCAGACATGGTGACTACAATGTTACGGTTGTACGCCACAGAGCGGCTCTGATCCACAGTGTGGCGAGTGATGGTGGACGTGGTGTAACTGGTCCAGTAGAGTGTGTCCCAGCTTCGATGGTATGCCAGGCCCTCAACTGATCCCACATCTGTCAAACAAAAGGGGAAGAATTGAAGCTGCGGTAATATTTTAACAACTATGTCAGAAAAAAACACTCCTGTTGAATATGGAACAATACACCTCAGTTCGGATAACAGCAATACAACTCTACTGCTGACTTGCAATGTGGATTTTAAATCTCCACAAATAACACAAACCTGGAGGAGCTTCTGCTGTGTGGTGAAGTTGCTAATGCTAATGGTTAGCTTAAACTAGTTGAGACGTTCTCTGCTGTTTCCTGGATGCTAAAACAACAACAACCTTCCCTGTCATGAGTCAAGATGGGTGAGTCCATGAATCTTAAGTGACAGTGTGACGTAGAGCTTCAATGTTTTCAAATCCTAACGCAGCAGACACGTGTAGGAGACCATTTTCATGCTCAGCCTGCACGAAAAATTCAAAGTGATCGGTTATAATCAGAAATAATCATTTTTAAAAATGGGTTTTCAGTGTCCCACACCTTTAAAAACATCTGGATAACCCTGTCATTCTGTCCATATGCCTGCACACCGGAACACATCTGTGACCTTTGTTTATTTTCCTTCTAGGATTTCAAAACACTTGACTAATTTTAGAATAAAAGAAAAACTAGGACATATGATAGCGGTGGGAATATTCCAATCTGTCCAACCTACACGAGTGCTGCCCTCTCTTTTTAGCTACACTAGCAACCACATTATGAGCTCATACAGGGCACAATAAAAGCCTGAAGTCAGTTTGCCCCTGGCTGAAAGTGTGTAATTACCATGTAATATATGTTTCAGATGGATGCTGAAGTGTCATCTTTAACAGTGATGTGAGACATTTTTAAGGCTCAACACCTTCTCATCATACTTGGAATTTATGACCAACTCAGGAAAAAAGTCACACAAACACAATTTGGTATTTGCTAAATGACCAAACTATGGAAAAGAAATTATGAACAGTTTATGCAAATAACATGGAGATGATGTGTTTTCAGACCAGTAGAGACAAAATGGTCTGCCCTCCTATTGGCTAGACTCACTAAGCCCCTGGACACTAAGCAAACAGATTAGAACCTGCTGGAAGATTTTAACCTCATGGAACAGAGCTTTTAATAAAATCCAGTGAGTACACAGCGGTTTGTGAGAATTCCTTCTGCTTCATTTTGTCACTTTTTATTCCAGCAAACCGTTTACGGATTTGATGTAATAACAGTGCAATAACTGCTCTGCTGGTGGAGAATACATGTTACAGCTCCTCTAAATGGACACGACGCCTCCTACTGCGGTGAGCACTTAGCATCAAATAGCATCGACTGTTTTCAAAGGGGAATATCTGATAGCAGCCACTTGGATGTATTTATCTGCTGGCTTCAAGGATCAATGCAGCTGCCGAGGAACTGCTGTACCGATGTCTGAGTTTTGATCCAAACAGCTTCTCCGTGCTGAGGCAGATCAATAAAAGTCAGCATGCAAAGACCTATCAAAGTAATAACTGTCTCAGTACAGTGCAATTATGCTTGTTTCTATAGGTTAAGAGATAAGTAATCCAGATCCTGCATCCTGCTGTGATGCTTAACACTATAAGAGATTAAAAGGCTTCTACTGTGACTCCAGGGGACTTTGGCACAGTGGTGTAACGGAATGAAATGACTGTTTTCCACCTAAAAGTCATATTCCCCTTCTCCTCTGACACAGAACTAATCTGCATGAGATATTGCCTCAGGACCTCATGCATTTGCTCTAAACTGTTTTCTTTCCAGCCCAAAAGAATAATGAAGACAAAGGACCCTCTCTTTTTAATAAATCAAAGAACTCTATTTTTAATAAGCTAATCAAACAAAGTGTTAGTCAATAATAAGATGTGAACAATCTGTGAAATGAAAATGTTAATTACTTTATTATAATCCTAAAGAATATAATAAGTAATATAACTTTAAATGTTTACACTAGAGACTGATCTCACGTAGAGTTAAGAGACGACACATTGCTTTACTGATCCTATCAGAATCTGCCAGATCTGACGGAGGCGTGGTTTTGGTGGTGCTTGGTAAATCTGTCATCTTTTCATTTGACCATAAACCAAAACATGCGAAGTATAAAACTATGCCCACGTCATCTTTAACACCAGTTCAAAGCGTTCTAGAGAAGTTGACGGAGTGGCCAATCCGTAACTTTCCTCTTCAGCCGAAAGAACCAACGACAAGCTGGAAAACCTGTTGCCATTCCACCTGCTGCAATGGTTCCTTTCAGAATAACAGCTGAACCATTATGACCCCGTTTTGGGTCTAGCTAGATGCCGATAAACTGTCGTGACCCAGAAGTATCTCAAGACTGGACTGGTCGGCTGCCGCGGCTGTTCTACAAGCTTCGGCTCCAAAGGTCCAAGCTGGACCTCTACACCTCCTGATCTAGACGGGGACTTCCGCTAAGGGTACGTAGACCGACAGAATGGCGTTGAATGTGTTTATGAATCTCCTAACCAAAGCTTTGCGAGAAGACATCACCTTCACTCCCACCAGAACTAATCGTTTCTTCGGATTTGCTGGTTCTGAACAACATTCCACACTACACCATTCTCCGTCTCACTTCACCTTAGTTACACCATACATTTAGTGTTAAAGTTAGTCTAGTTTTAATATGTTTAGTAATAAATCTTTAAACTTTTAAAACTTGACTCTCTCTTCTGTTGTCTCTGAGTTAATATGAAGTGGTTACATAATCCCTGCAATAAAAAGTTCCAATCTTCTGGTTAAAAATACCCAAAGATCCATCAGATTGATTCCATAGTTCCTATGGAATCTCATGTCTCATGGTTCATTAAATAACATGTAAATTAACCCATTACAGCGGATAAACAACAGCCACCATGACCTGATAAACAAAACAAATGAGGCTTTGGTTAAAGCCATGGTGCCATTCGTGAATGGGTTGATTAATAGGACAAACTCTGGTCATGATCATTCTTACAGGCAGGAGGAGGAGAGCATCTCACCCACCTCATGGTACAGACACACTGCTGTTGGCACTGAGTGCTGCTGACCTGCTGCTGTTATTCTGTCTTCCCTTTCACACCTCTGCCATCACTCTGAGCTTCTAACCTTGTGGTGACTTTATGTGCAAAGCCATTAGCTTCCTGAGCGTGTCCTGTTCAGCTGCCTCCGTGTTCACCCTGGCAGCTCTGGCTGTGACGCGCTACCTTACAGTTGTGCATCCCACCTGGACGTTCCCCTCAAGGGTGCATAGGGGACTTGAAGTGACTGTTGCTCTGCTCTGGGTTTCTGCCTCAGCTTTGGCAGCGCCACAGTTTGACTTCTGTACAATTTCATTTTCCAGCACGGTATACTGTTCCGCCTTCCAGTCTGACTTCAGCCAGCTATTCTACAGCACTGCCCTTTTTCTCTTTGGCTTTGCACTACCGTTAGACATCATTGTCTTGATGTATGCCAAAATCTACTGTTTTCTTCGACATGCGTAGCAGATGGGTAACGCACCCGAGCTGGAGCGTTATCAGCTTCAGGTCACTCACACCTCTGCTGTCTTGGTCGTGGTCTTCACTCTGCTGTGGCTGCCCCCGTACGTCCTCATGTTTTCCATAATTGGAGGAACTCTTACTGGCTCACCTAGCTACTGCATTTACGCCCTCCTGGTCAGACTCTTGTCCTCCTCTGTAGCAGTGGTAAACCCTGTCTTGTACAGATGCATGTCTTAGAAGTTTAGATCTGTTAGAACTAGGAAGGGAATGTTGGGCTTGGTGCAAAAGCTGTGTCATTGGTTGTCCATGTGTGATAAACAGAGATATGGTCCAGCCTTTTGAGCTGGACACAACCTCAGGGAGAGGTCCAAACTGACTCCTTAACCTGAAGGAAAACACTGTAGCTAAATGTCTACTCAATTAAGGACTGAATTCAAATATGCTATTATGCTTCTGTATTTTATGCACTTATCAATAAAAAACATTAAACACTAAATTATGGTAAATCTATTTAATAATTTTTTTCCTACAGTTCATCTTCTGCACTGTAACTGCTCAGTCTATTAATTTACCTCCTTATTTTATTTCAAATGTCTAATTTTATTTGTGTTTTTTAAATTAAATTTAATAATCTGTTGTTTTATGTTGTCACGTTGATTTTAACATTATGTGTTCTTGCTGATATTGCCTCTGTGGATGAAATGTGCTATACAAATAAAGCTGCCTTACCTATTTTGAATGGACGAATGTCACTAAACAGGAACCAAAGTAACTTTTTTTACAACCTGAAACTTTAAAAAATAAAAAATATCTGACAACATTTGTAAAAAAGTAATTTAAAATTCCAGTTGCAACTGTCATCAATCTGACCAAAAGCAGGTGGGTAAGGAAGATCTTTTATCAGTTTGAAAAATGAATTGAGATCTCGTCTCGTCTTCTTCCGCCTATCCGGGTCCGGGGGCAGCATCCCAACTAGGGAGTTCCAGATCGTCCTCTCCCGGCCGCCTCCACCAGCTCCTCCGGCAGGACCCCAAGCTGTTCCTGGGCCAGTTCGGGGATCTACTTTCTCCAACGTGTCCTGGGTCGACCAGGGGGCCTCCTGCCGGCACGACATGCCTGAATCACCTCCCTGGGGAGGCGTCCAGGAGACATCCTAACAAGATGCCCAAACCACCTCAACTGACTCCTCTCGATATGGAGGAGCAGCGGCTCTGCTCCGAGTCTCTCCCGACTGTCCGAGCTCCTCACCCTATCCCCAAGGCTGAGCCCAGCCACCCCATGGAGAAAACTCATTTTGGCCGCTTGTATACGCAATCTTGTTCTTTTGGTCATTACCCAAAGCTCATGACCACAGGTGAGGACTGGGCGGTAGATCGACTGGTAAATCGAGAGCCTTGCTTTCTGGCTCAGCTCCGCCTTCACCACAACAGACCAGTTCAGCGTCCGCATCACCGCAGACGCTGCCCCAATCCGCCTGTCGATCTCCTGCTCCCTCCTTCCCTCACTTGTGAACAAGACCCTGATATACTTGAACTCCTCCACTTGTACGTCGCTTTGGACAAAAGCGCCTGCTAAATACATAAACATAAACATAAACTTGAGACAGGACCTCTCTCCCGACCCGGAGTTGGCAAGCTGCCCTTTTCCGGTCGATGAATTGAGATGAGAACAAATACAGTCAACATGAATATTTTGGGATAAAGTACTGTCCATGTGTACACCAAGACCAAACCTGAGAGATAGTTAAATAATGTATAATCACCCATCTGGGGTTAAATAGTGGTACTGAAATCATATCATATGACAAACCCCCTTCAGAAAAGTAAACATTTTCTGAATAATACAATTATTAGTGCTTAAATGAGAAGTGTGCAAGGTGAAGAGGACCGCTCACACAACCCTGTGGAGCTCCAACAGTTATTGTTTACCTTACCTTGAGTTCTTAGGTGGAAAATAAATGAAAATTAATAACTGAAGAGCAGACTGTTACAACTTTGAAATCTAATCTCATTATATAACATTGTAATTAGAAAACTAGACACACTAAAACAGTGCCTTTCGCTAATGCAGCAGGTAGGTGTAGGAGACTATTTTCATGTTCAGCCTGCATGAAAAACTCAGAGTGACCGATTAGAATCATAAATAGTAATTAAAAATGTGGTTCAGTGAACCACATCTTTAAAGTCAGCAACATACATCTAGTTGGAAATAGTCAAATCACAGACTGTTTCTGTGCAAACGTTTCTTCGTCAACCAAATTAGTAAAAAAACAACAGGCTGAAGAAAAGTTTAGGTGCTGCAAGGTTAAACATGTTCTTATATGACTCAGCACTTACTGTCTACCACAATCTTGCGATCTGTGCCATCGTCATTGATCTGCTGGATGTTGCCAAAGTGAATGTCACTGAAGAAGATGCGGTTGGATCCCTTTCCTCCTCCTCCGTGGTAATCAAAGCTGAGAGCAATGACGTTCTTCATGTGTTCAGGGTCCTCAAACGGTTTTATTGGCGCATTGAGATTCGTCTCATCAGACAGATGGATACTTTTCAGTATGGTACGCTCCGAGTACAGTAGGTATCCGTCATAGTCGCGGCAGCTGCGGTTGTCTTCTGCCAGCATGCCATGAGCACAGGCACAGGTGCGCTGCCCGTTTCCACGGAACAGACACAGCTGTTCGCAGCCACCATTTTTATCTTTACAAACATTTGTACCTGTGGAAAACATGGTAATTTTTGATAAATAAGCCATGGACAAAAAACTGATGATCTTTGCTAAATACAAGTTCAAAGTGAAGAGTGTTAATCTGGTTTTCGCTATATATGGATTACTAGAGTTCCCAGTAACTTCGTTTCCCACCTTGCTGCCTGGCCCTGTTGAAAACTTTAATGTCCTTCAGTTGGACACCGATGCCTGTTCTAAGCTGCACAGCATCTGTAGCATTGTCTTTGCTGCCTCTCTTAATAGAGCCATTGGCATGAGTCCTGAACAAAAACAAAAAACAAAAGCAAGCCAGCAATAAATCATTTTAGGGACGACTATAACAGGGAATGAAAACTTTTTTGTGATTCATATACGATGAGGAGAAAAATGCTGACCTATCACTCCAATAGATGTATTCCTCAAACACAGACACAGCAAACATGTCCATGTTGTTATTGGCCAGCACCAGCTCCCTGTTCTGTCCAGTTTCCAGGTTGATGCGCTCAATCTTATCAGTTCGAGCATCGCACCAATAGAGCAGACCGTTCTAAACACAAAATAAAAACAATTATGTTTGAGGTGCTTAAATATAAAAGGATAAGATGCTACGTTTAGCCAAACCAGTTGTGTCAGTTGGCCTTAAGCACACCTCATAGTCGATAGAGATTCCGTTTGGCCAGCTGATGCTCGTGTTGACTATGACCAATCTCTGAGTGCCGTCCAACCGAGAGCGTTCAATACGAGGATACTGACCCCACTCGGTCCAGAACAAATATCTGCACACAAACACAATTTGAAAAGGCAGAGAGGAGGAATTCAGATGAATAAAGTTTGTGCGGCGCTATAACACAGGGCAGATTTAGGTTTACCCTTTCACTGGGTGGACAGTTATAGCCCTGGGTTTGTCCAGGCCCTGAGAAATGACCACATAGCGGAATGAACCATTGAGCCTGGCCACTTCAATCACATCAAAGCCTTGGTCAGTCCAGTAAATATTTCCTGTAAAAGAAAAAATATATATACACGTTAGATGATGCTTTACATACACATGTGGATGCATTTATGAATATAGTCGGATTGAAACTGTGCCACGACCCCACCTGCAATCCAGTCAACAGTAATGCCCTCCACCCTGCCAATCCCATTGGTCACCACATCCTCTCTCCACGTTTGGTCTCTCTTTGCTCTGCTGATGGTGCTCAGTCCCATGTCCACCCAGTAGATGGTGTCATTCTCTGCGGAGACGAAGACAGCGTTAAAACGTTACTCTAGACTACTGGTTTTCCGATAACTGTATGCATCACTCACCAGCATGGAAGTCGATGCCGACAGCTAAAGAGGTACCAGACACGGGCACCAGGGCATCCGATTTGTCCGCCGGGTCAAGTGGTATTCCTCTAATACCCTCATGGACAGAGTAAAGCAGGAAAGATCCCATGCCTGCTCAGAGACGATAAAGTAAGGTTCTGTTTATAGGACACAAAATATTTATACTCCATGTATGACAGCAGCTGTGAATTAGTGTCTTACCCTCACAGGACTGCTGCCCTGTTTTGAGGCTGTATCCAGCTGTGCACATACAGGATCTTGTTGTTGGAGAGGTTGGTAGACACAACTGTGAGCAGTCCCCATTGTTGTTGCTGCACAGGTTGATACCTGCTAAAGGGAGAAAAAGAAGTAGAACAGATTTAATCACAAAAAGCTTGTTATAAAGTAATTTTCTAGGAATATTTGTTACCTTTCTGCACATCTTCATCATAGATCCTCATGTGCATCATCGGAGAGGTGTTGTTGCGCATAACTTTCCAATTTCCTCCATCTTTCTTGTTGCAGGTTCCTATCTGGTCGGTTACCTGGTCGGCCCACCACAATTTGTCTCCTGCAGAAAGGGAAAGTCATTCAAATCATTCCTAGTTTTCCTAATATAATTTACTTTGAGTTTTTCCTGAAATATAAGCAGGGATGCCATGTGACTATAAACATTAAAATAAAAATGTATCAATACTTTATTAAATGTATAGCCTTTAGGAACTTACCCATAATGGCCAGTGCTGTAGCTTTGGTGAGTTTGCCTTTACCACCCTCCAGGATCTCCAGTTTAGATCCATCAAGCTGACATCGGCTAATGGTGCCGTTTCCTGAGCTGATCCAGTACAGCTGTGCCTTTTCATAGTCAATAGACAGCCCTGAGAAGAAAGAAAGCTTGTTGCTACTAAATATTCGTACCTGGAAAAAAAGATGCTCTTGATCTGTGTGCATAACGACTTTAAAGAGCAAGTCACCCCCAAATCAACTTATTTTTTGCTGATAAACTTTATAAATGTGTGTCTAATCGTGCTGCAGACATGTGTGGTCAATAATTTGGTACTTCAGTGCATCTTAGTTAAAATTTAAATTTTCTGCCTAAAACTGTCAGTGTTGTGCCGTTGTCAGGTAAAAACTTTGCACTGCATTTGAATTAAAATCTGCCATCGCTATTGGCTAAGAGGTATGCTATGATGTAAACTGGTACATTATGATGTCACAATGCCGTTGTGAGCCTGTGTGTGTGTTTGTTAGCGGCTCCGCCCTCCCGGTCTGCTAGGCAACCGCATTTGTTGCATTTTTCAAACATGAAGAGGGAGTGAAGTAAGTTTCTTGTAGGGGGTGACTTGCTCTTTAAATATTATCTCAGTTATGTCTGAGTTGATTGTTTTTGCTTGCTCACCCACTGGGCCTTTCTGATTGGTAAAAAGTGTGGTGTGGTTGGTACCGTCCATGTTAGCCATGCTGATGTTGTCACCATCCGTCCAGTAGAGCTTCCTGAAATGGAGAATGAATATAAGCCGGATGAGCTCTCAACATGTGACACAAGTAGCAAAAAGGATTTTTAAGTGAAAAGTTACATAAGCTACACAGAAAATATCCACAGTTTGAACACTTTACTAAGTTTTATGAGAATTACAGAATAAAATCTGAATAAATACGCTCACCCTAGCAGAGGGTGAACCACCAGACAGTGGGGCTTATCTAATCCCTGGATAACTGCATTCTTGAAAGATCCATCCAGTCTAGCCACGTTGATCTGCTTCTTATTGGCATCATAACTGGTCCAGAAGAGGTTTCTGGACACCCAGTCTACCGCCAGCCCATGGGCGTTAGACAGGTCTAAAAACGAAAAATCAGAACGACAGGTTATGATTTCCAGTGTGCTGCTGATACTGAGCTTTTGTACTAATCAGTAATTAAGTCAAAACTCAAGCAGGAGACCACGATTGTTCTTACCAGCAGATACAACTGTCTCCACCCCCGTGCCATTAATGAACGCTCTTTTGATGGTCTGGGTTCGCACATCTGACCAGTAGATGCGATGCTCCACTGCATCATAGTCCACCACTGTCACGTTGTCTATGTCTGGCACGGTGAAGGAGATGATGTAGTTGTAGTAGGGGTTGTCGATGTCCACACCTCGGATCTCAATCTGACGAGCATACAGGAGGAATTTGCGCGACTCTGGAAAAGAGAAAGGTGATTTTCTTTCACACCTTCTTTTGCAGATCACCGATACAAGGATGTAGACTTTTGGGCCTTAGCCGTTTGAACAAATCAGATCATCTAAACAAAATAACCAGAATCTGGCTAAGAAAATGCAACATTATTTCTAGCATAAACCCAATGAGCGAATGTCTTGTTTTAGAGTTTTGTTAAGACATTATTTTTTTCATATTTGTGTCAGTAAAAACAAAAATAAGTATCTTTTGTTTCTTTGTGACAATTTTGTAGGACCAAATAGGTGGATGTGTCCTTGCCTTTGCAGGTGTGCTTGTCAGACTGCAGCTTCATGAGATGAGGACAAGCACAGGAATAGGTCTGGTTAAAGTTGATCAGACAAAGGTGGGAGCAAGGTCCTCTCCCATCGCTGGTGGCACATGGGTTTGGAGCTAAAAAGATAGAGAAAAAATAAAAAGAGGAAGAAAATTAGGAAAGAAAGAGGCACCAAAAAGGTATAAGAGATGCTTCACAACAAAAACGAAAGTACATGATGTGCTACAGATTCAGCTAGATATATCACCATACTTTTAGAAAAAAAAGTAGGATAAAAAGTAGATCTTCCAGATCTGTCATCCCAGCTCGTTCTCATCGCTGTCATGAGGAGTTCCATCTGTCAGTTAACAGTTCACTGATATCTCTTTCTGTCTTGTCACTTATAAAAGACCAGCACCTCTCTGCTACACACACACACACACACACACACACACACACACACACACACACACACACACACACACACACACACACACACACACACACACACACACACACACACACACACACACACACACACACACACACACACACAGCGTCCTAAAGTCTAAACCTCCTGAGCTCTAAGGTGACAGTTTGATGTGACACAACACTGTGAAGCAGTTGTGACAAGTCTTGTCAGCCATGCGTGTCCTTGAGACATTCATGTTGCAGGAGGAGGGTTCTGTTTCCTACGCTGCCTCTAGAAAATGAAGCAGCGAGGTGACCAAATTGCTCCTGTGTGAGGGAACAACGTGTCTCACACCTTTAAAAGGTCAGCTGTAACTGAGGAATAGGAGCCAACATGAGGACCATTATGCTAGTAAAAGCAGGATAAATGTAAAATAAACCACTTTCTCCTGATTTGTTTCTCCCAAGAGGAATCATTTAATTGATTTTTATCAGTAAGTAAAATTTATTTCGTTATTTTGCTGGTTGAATGGGGAAAATGCTGTGTATTTAACATAACACTGCTTGGTCAAAGATGGGTTAATATGACGTGTGAAAGGGGCTGGGTGGGCACTGAAACTCGAGCTAGGTAAGCTAGCCGAGGCTAGGTAAGCTAGCTGAGGCTAGCATGTTTTTGGGCTCCGCTGGATCACTGCGGTCAGAGATCCGTGAGGTCGCCACTGCAAAAGGGAGGATTACAGATTTTTAGTACCGTTTCTCTCTCTCTTCCTTCCGTAAAAGTGCCTGAAAACCTCCTGGTTCCATGTTAGCTTTGAGTTAGCTTGTAGCTACATTGGTTCCGATTTTGATGGGTTTCGATCATTTGCTCCCACCATCACAGCCCCACTCTCAGCTCCACGTCTTTGCAGATTCTGGTGATATGGCGGTGGCGAAAACACGAGTTGTACGGCCAAGATGGTGGTGGTGGTAACCGTCCATTTGGCTTCAAAAAAGCCCCACAAAAAGCTGCGAGTGGGGTTTGTCCATCTTCATATATATATATATATATATATATATATAGTCATTGGTTTCACTATTAATGTCTGTATTTAGTGTGAAACATACCTTGTGGTTGCCTGGATGGGTGATAGACCTGCAGGTCAAACGGCTGTGTGTTAGTGCGTTGGACTACAGTGACGTTGTGTCCTGTCCATTTGTTGGCTTTGGCCAGTGTGTTAGTCCTCCAGTCCGTCCAGTAGACCTCTCCTCCATACATGGTGACAGCAAACGGGTGGGAGAGATACTCATGACCTCGTAGCACCTCGATCAGTCCAGAACCATCATACTTGGCAGAGTAAATCGCATCAGACCTTAAGAAGCATGAAAACAGAGATATAGATCTTGTGTAATATTTACAAAGACAGGTCTGGATACTGGTAAAATGTTAAATGACAAGAAAAGAGAAGCAAACCAAGCGTGTGGCTGATGTACTAAGAGGATGTGGTGCAGTGGATGCATTCAGGTGAACACTACCTGGCATCGATCCAAACAATACGTCTCTCCATGTAGTCAACAGTGAGCCCATTGGGCCAGCCACCACTGCCCGTCTCCCTGTGGATGGTACGTCTGCCTTCTCCGCTCATAGATGCTGCCTCTATCCTGGGCTGACTAGCATCCCAGTCGGTCCAAAACAAAATTCTGCCAAAAGAAAATTCCCAGAGTGAAGGATTTCACAGATGCGTTAAAGGTTTCATAGAAAATACAGGATGCTGAATATCTCCCGTTTATCGAAAAAGGTTAGGAAAATTCCAGTAATTTTCCATTTTCCTAATGCGATGATGACTTTAGAATCCCTCCATCCATGCTTCTCACCCGTCACGAGGGTCTAGAGCGATTGCCCGGGGATGCTCCACTTCCCCGGCCAGCAGGGTGGTTCTCATGGTCCCGTCCAGTTTGGCCACCTCAATCTGGTCCAGATTACTCTCCACCCAGTAAATGTTTCCTGCAATCCAGTCCACAGCGAGTCCCTCTGGAGTAGCCAGGCCGTACTGAATCACCACCTCAAAACTGGTCAGGGCTGATCCAACAGAAAAGCACGAGTTTAGAAACAGGATGATGTGTTTTTGTTCCTTATAAAGCAAACAAAAGAAAACCCAAACTAAACTGACCTGAACTGTTACTTCTCTGGAAGTCATCAGAAAAAAAACAAGCTCTACTGATGTGGTTTTGACAAGCACCGCTTCCCTAACCTCACTCCTAAGAAAACAAGCTGCAGACGTCAACTCTCATTCTTGTCTTTATCAGTTTCCAGAAACAGCTGGCTCTCAGATGAAGAGTAGAACCAAAACGTGGTTTGATTATCTCGGCTACAGGAGATAACAAGCCATTCTGACCAGTCTAATTAGACGGTAAACAACCTATTGACATGCCACTTTAAGGGGATGCCGTGTATCTTCATTACTCTGTTGGCAGTATCCTGTGAATACTTGGAAGACACTGAAACCGTCGAATCTACGAGCTGGCTGTCACGTCCTTGCTCATGAAACTTGTATTTATGTTGGACTTGAAGAGCTGGGAAATGAAACAGCCGAGTTTTATTCCTCCTACACAACGTCGGTGTTCTGGCAACAGTCACACACTGTGAGTACCGGGACAAATGGGAAAGGACAAAGCCTTCTGTGCGCTCCTGAATTACAGCGCAGGGAAGAAGACCTGGGCTCACCATGCATTCATGTACTCTTCAGAAAACATTTAGCTCTTGGTAATTACTTCATATTTACTCGGCTAATTATCAGATAATGCTCAGTAAATACAAAGGATCTCAAAAAGACATAAAAAATTTGACCCATTACAACATATTTTATTTTACTTGAGCTAAATGTTTGTTTGTTGCTTTACCTCCATTGTCAGACAGTTTCCCCCGGTAGATCTTGTCCTCCACAACATCAGTCCAGTAAAGGGTGCTCTGGTTAAGGTGGAAGTCCAGTGCTATGGTGTTCCTTAAACCTGGAACAAGCACACTGAACTCTCCCTTGTGAAGGTCGATCCTCCTGATCTCATGTCGATTGGAGAAGATGATGAAAGGTTTGAAGGGATCTGAAGAAAAAGACTTTATTGTCTCATAAATCTCATTATAGTTTCCTAAGAGTAAACATGTCAACCTGTTAAAAAATGATGAACAGAACCAATTTTATTTGGCAAAATCTGAACAATGATTTTTTTAAAGACATTTTCTTTACCAGTGCTTTTGCAGCTTTCCATGTCAGCCTCCAGCTCCCAACCCTCGTAGCAGGAACACTTGATGCTGGACTTCTCCTGTTCGCATTTCTGACTGCATTTAAGATGTTTGGCACAGAAGCTCTGGATCTGGCAGGTCTTGTTGTCAGGTCCCAGCTCCATGCCCAGGGGACAGGAGCAAATGAAGCCCTCCCCAGGAATAATGCTGCAGTTGTGACTGCAACCACCGTTCTGCACAGAACACAAGTCTGCAGGAAACAGAGGCAACAGGGCTGTAATTACACCAAGAACTGCCTACATGTGCTGCTTTTAGTTATCAAATGGGAAAATGTTGTGCTTTTTTGTTTACCACAAAGTTTCTCATCAGAGGCATCAGGACAATCGTCGGTGCCGTCACACAGCTTCTCGGCAGGCAAGCAGATGGAGTCGTTAGTAGCGCACATGTGATGGGACAACTTGCACACCAACGTCTCACAGTTGTCCTCATCTGAGTTGTCTTCACAGTCGCTGTCGCCATCACACACCCAGGCCTTGCTGATACAGCGAGCTGACAAGGCCAAAAAAAGTTCATTCTCAGCTTCAGACATCATTAATGCATTCAGGTCAATGTAAGGGTGCTCTTTACTGCACATATGTTCATAAGTGAAGTTTTTCTGTGTGCACACATTACAAATCAATCAGGCCAAATTAAGAGAGTATCACTCCTGATCTCTGCACTCTAGCAGAAAGAAACTTTACCAGAGTCTCTGCAGCTGAATTTGACTGCTGGGTCACAGGTGTGGGTGACACCCTCACAACTGTTCTCGTCACTGAGGTCCATACAGTCTGTGTCGCCATCACAGCGCCAGCGATTAGGAATACACAGACCATCCATCCGACACTGAAACTCATCTACGTGGCAGCCGCCGGGAGGACGGGTTACTGGAGAGAAAAATAAAAATGGAGTGAATGCATCATCCAGCATAAAAGTAGCAATGAAATATAACGGCAATTTTATATAAACCAAAGATCAAGGAGAAAACAAAACCATTTAAATTATTCATCACTTTTTATGTATGTGACCTGACTCTGAGCTAATCCGATTCATGTTAGAAACAGATTAGAAACACCTCTGTGGAAGTTTTCTAGAGAAATCCCTTTCTTACAGAACAAAAATCATCACAGTTCCTGCAGAAATTATGGAGATTATGACCCGTCAACGTAGAAATTGTGCAGATATTACAGGAACACACAAAGTCAGACAGACACAGCAGATCGCAGATTGCACATTAGACCAGCAGGTCGTGCTGAGCCCCATGTTTTGCATGCTGGGACCTGACAGCAGCAAGCCTCATTTCTGCATGGATGAAAGAAACCATACGTAGAGCACCACAACACTGTTTCAGTGCAGAGGCAGCTGAAAGAATTGTGCAACTAGTTTCTTTATGTCGCTTTCTCAGTCTGTTAAACTGGAAAAGGCACAGCAGCTAAACAACAGCCACCAGCTGTAAACATACCAGTCATCTCACAACATCTGTGACTTTTGCAGGCTCCCATGAAAGGATTGAATTGTTTTTTTTACCACCAAAACATTATCACACCCTGAACAGAACAAAAACAGAGGATTGCAGCAGATGTTAAGTGGAAGATGGGCAGCAGGCAGGAAGCTGTAAAGACCAGGGGCCTCATTTATCAAGCTTGCTTACGCACAAAACGGGGTCGGAAAACTGCGAAAGCAACTTTCCACGCAAACTTTGGGATTTATAAAGGAAAACTTAGTGGAAAAATGTGCGCAACTTTAAGTTGACTAAAGACCTGGCTTACGCACATTTTGGACATGGAGAGCACCTGCAGTGCTGCTGCTGAGAAGGATACAAATATGAAATCCTGCAGCATTGTCACTTGTACTGCTTCATTTTCACACAGAACAAGACCCCACAGTATGAATGTGTTTGGTAAAATTATAAAAATGTCACAGGAAGCTCAGTATGATTTTTGCAGGCAGGAATTTATTCTAGATTTTGGATGACAGATCATGTTTGGTTGCGGGAAAAGGGGTTTTTAAAATAGTTCATTTGAATGTGTGCGGTTTGAGAAATAAGGTGGCGGATATTCAAGAAATTTTGCAAAGTTATAATTTACATGTGTTAGCAATACCAGAAACACATTTAGATGACACAATTAATAATGAAGTAGTAGAGGTTAGGGGCTATAATATTTACATAGACTAGATAGGAATTTGTATGGTGGAGGTGTGGCCTGTTATGTTCAAAATCATATTCCAGTTAGAGTAAGAACAGATTTCATGGTAACTGAAGTTGAGACACTATGGTTAGAATTGCAGATTCCTCATTTAAAAGCTGTCATTATTGGATGTTGTTACAGACCACCAAATGCTCCTATATACCACTTGGATCAGATAGGAGGTATGTTGGATAAGGCATGTGATCTGAGAGAAGAAATTTTTTTCCTGGGTGACTTTAATATAGACTGGAAATCAGGAAATTGTCCATTGAGGAATAAATTGTTTTCATTTACCAACATTTGTAATTTATCACAACTCGTGCAGGCTGATACTAGAACTCCGATAAAAAGTAATGGCAAATTTTCCGCAACTTTGATTGACTTAATTTTTACCAATATGGCAAATTTATGTTCTAAAGCAGTTTCGATTCCAGTGGGCTGTAGCGACCATAATTTAATTGCGGTAACAAGGAAAACAAAGATGCCTAAAAAAGGCCAATTATTTGTGTGCAGACGGATGTTTAAATATTTCAATGAAGATGACTTCATAGAAGATGTGAGGAAAATAAGTTGGACACAGGTTTTAAGTGAAGAAGATCCATGACAAACAGTAGCAATTTTCAATGAATTGTTCACAAAGGTGTTAGACAGACATGTTCCTATAAGGAAACGTGCTGTGAGAAGGGTATCTGCTCCATGGCTGGATGAAGATTTAAAAGAATATATGAGGCAGAGGGATAAACTTCAAAATGAAGCAGTAAAAACTAATAGTCCAGATAAATGGAAAGAGTATCGTAGTTTACGAAACTTTGTAATTAAATTAAATAATCATAAAAAACGGTTGTATTATCAAAAAAGACTAACTGATGCAAAATCGGATAGTGCAAGATTATGGGGTACATTGAATGAAATGATGGGTTGGCAAAATAGGTCAGCTCCAACTTTTTTGGATGTAGGGGGAACTTATCTCACTAAACCAACAGAAATTGCTAATTATTTAAACCAGTTTTTAACTAATAAAATTAAATTGTTGCGAGATTCTATGGAAAATAGTCAAACCAAAAATATTTCCTATCAACTAATTAAACAAAAAATAATGTTAAATAAAAACTGCCAATTTCAATTTGATAAAGTGACTGAAGACAAGGTTAAGGAGATAATATTAAAAAGTAAAAATAAACCATCTGGCATAGATAATATTGATATAAAATGGTTAAAGTTAGTAGTAGATTTTATTTCATGTCCTATTGTTCATATAATGAATGGAAGTTTTAAACAAGGTATTTTCCCATCTCAATGGAAAACAGCAAAAATAATACCTTTAATTAAGAACAATAGAGAACCACTGTCTGGTCAAAACAGTCGACCAATAAGTTTGCTACCAGCTTTAAGTAAAATCATGGAAAAAATTGCATATGACCAAATTCAAGATTATTTTGAGGTAAATGCATTAAACACAAAATATCAACATGCTTACAAAACAAATCACTCAAGCACTACTGCACTTATTCAAATAACTGATTATTGCTTAGAGAATATTGATAGTAATAAGCTAATTGGTTTTATATTTCTTGATTTAAGTGCGGCTTTTGATGTTTTAGATCATGATATTTTATTACAAAAACTTAAACACTATGATTTCATACATCTGCTCTTAAATGGACTAAAAGTTATCTTACTGACAGAGAATGTCAATTTTATTTCAATGGCAGTTTTTCTGAAAAGGGTCTGATGGAATGTGGTGTTCCACAGGGAAGTTGTTTGGGACCTCTTTTGTTTTCTAATTTTTTGAATGATTTTCCTTGGGTGCTGCAACATGCGACTACAGCAGTATATGCAGATGACATTACTGTTTTAGCTTCAGCACATACGGAGAGTGCATTGAATGAAATATTAAAGAGTTAAGAACAGTCGAGCAGTGGATAACTGCTAACAAATTAGTGATTAATGCAGGAAAAACTAAATGCATGGTAGTTGGCTCCAAACATACTTTACAGACGATGCAAAAGTTACATTTAACCCTGAGTAACAACGTAATGGAACAACTAGAAGAAGTAAAATTACTGGGATTAATAGTTGATTGTAAATTATCATGGACAAGCCAGATTAATTATGTTTTACGCAAAATGGGGAGAGGTATGGGCATAATTAAATTTTGTTGCAAATTTATACCATAATATTTACTTGTTCAATCATTAGTGCTTTTTTGTGTAGATCAAGCATCTATTATTTGGTCCAGTACAAGTGAAAATAATTTGCATAAGCTACAAGTAGCACAAAATAAAGCTGCCCGTATTGTTTTAGGCTGCCCTTACAGAACGAATGTGGGAACTATGCATGAAAAACTTGCTTGGCTTGATGTGAAGAGTAGATTGAAGTATTTCTTGGTAACAGCTGTGAGGAAAATAATAACTACAAAAACACCAAAAATTATACATAGCAAATTATTGTTTTTTCAGATAATCATACTTATAACACACAACAGATAAATTAGATGAAATGTGTTTTACCACGCAGTAGAACAAATCAAATTCAACAATCTTTTCACTATAAAGCTATGCTTGCATGGAATGCATTACCTAGATTTTTAATTTTTGAAAGTAATAACATTTCTTTTCAGAAGAAACTGAAAATTGTTTTGTTTACACACTTAATTGTATAGTGACTATGAACTCTGCAACGAAGGATTGAGAATCTGTGTTTGAGGTCGAATACTGGATATCGATGAACTGGTATCGATGAATGATACGAAACAATGGACATGATGTCACCATTCTGTTATATTTTATTTTCAATCTTTATTGGTGTGATTAACTCCTTTCCCGATATTAGTTTATATATGTAATTTTGTTCGAGATATGTGATTTCATTTTGAGCTACTGGTATTATGTGAATTATGGATGTGTGTGCGTGAATGTGTGTGTGTGTGTGTGTGTGTGTGTGTGTGTGTGTGTGTGTGTGTGTGTGTGTGTGTGTGTGTGTATAGGGTATTATCTCATGTAAACAATTGCATGAAAATGTATGAGACCCCAGGAAGACTAGCATCTGCACTTAGGCAGAAGCTAATGAGGATCTCAATAAAACAAAATGACCCCCACCCCCCCACCCCCACCCCCCACTCACACACACTCACACACAGCCTGAAGCGCAGAATACGGAATGTAGAATATCAGCAGGGGACAGATTGAGACAGAATGTCATGCGTCTGTGACCATGTGTGTGTCCTGTCACTGTGACCCAATTGATGATGCGCCCTGGCTAGTTGAACAGGAGAGATCTCCGTATGGATGACTGGCTAGCGTGTGTGACTTTCACCTGAGAGTCTGGGGATTGAATCCCGATTTGACCATTTTTTTAAATATCCGCCACAGATCTCTCTGAAGAATTCACAACATTGACGGCTTCAGCAACGCTGTGCCGCTCCGTGGATTTTCTCTTATTTGTTTTGCAAAAGCACTTCCTTTCATTTCTCCACCTCACCCACAAGTGCCTCAATTTCTGCTTCTGTGAAATTGCGCCTCCTTGATCTGCCTTGATCTACGGTCGTCATGTCATTGGCGGAGCGCTGCAACAGCCGGCTTACGTATAAGCATGAGATCCACAAGGCACTTTGCACTGACTATTTATGGCAGTAAGTGGGCGTGATGAGGGCGGGATGTAACTAAAAAGCAGCTGAGAAACATTCTCGTTAGTCTCCGATTTATGAAGCGGAGATTGCGTGCAGCTGCGCGTACTCCATGTTTGATAGATCACAAACCTACTTGGCGTAAGTACATTTTTTTTGCTGAGCTTAAGTACGGTTTTAGTAAGGACTCTACGCACTGTTTAATAAATGAGACCCCTGATTGTTGAGATAGGATGGAAACCTCTACAACTGTAACAATAACAACAACAACAACAACAACGTGTAAACAGAGAGAAATGCAACATGATGGGATTGGACCTTTAATCAGGTAAACTACAAACATTTATCAGCAAACACTAAGACAAAGGAGACAACGCCATGAAAAAAGGCCTTCCTTACCTCGGTTGGTACAGTTGGCATGAGTCTCGTCGCTAAAGTCTCCACAGTCGTTGTCGCCATCGCAGGTCCAGTATTCTGGGATGCAGCGCCCACTGTTGCACTTAAACTGGACACTAGAGCAGGAATGGCTGCAGCCGGCTTCATCGCTGTTATCCCCACAGTCATTGTCTGAACACAAGTGATTTTATCATGTTTATTGGATTGTTTTACAACCTTTATAGAAGCTTATGGGAAAGGATACCCACCGTTGTCACAGCGCCAGTTGATATTGATGCAGCGGCCATTAGCACAGGTAAACTGGGTTAACGGGAAGCAGGTTGGGTAGGCTGGGAAAAGAAGACACATATTGTGTTCATTAAGAAAAACCTACATACCTCTTAAAGGTAAAAAAGTACAGCAAACACTCACCACAGGAGTCTGGTTCATCTGAGCGATCTCCACAGTCATCGTCCAGGTCACATGTCCAGGAGATGGGGATGCAGCGCCCACTGGCACATGGGTACTGGTTCGGTGGGCAGGTACGAGCTGGAAGTGAAAACAGAAAGTCTAATCCAGATGTTTGCTATAACATTCAACTCAAACCCCACTGGGACAAAATAAGCACTCTAAAGCCTTGCACAGCATTAAAAACAATATAACGACTTAAATGCTCTCAGAATGGCACATGTGTTTAAGCTGTATCCATTACCAGAGCAGGTGGTGTTGGATTCATCCTCGTCATTGCCACAGTCATTGTCCCCATCGCAGAGCCATCTCAGGGGGATGCAGCGGTTGTTCTTGCATTTGAATCGGTCAGCTGGGCAGGTGTGCTGGTCTGCAGAAAGAAACAAAAATATTACAGTTTTCAATACAAGCCCTTTAAAAATTGCACGTACAATGAAAGGGGAGAAAAAAAAGATCAATATGTGTGTGTGTGTGTTCCTGGGAAACAGCTAATGAGAGCAGAGTTGGTCACATCACACAGCATGGAAACAAATGTTGGAAACTTTTGTGTGTGATCTGTCAGCTTGTGTTAGCTAAGACCTTCAAGTATAATTTTGTTTTTCCTGTGTGTTGCTATGTATCCATGACAATGACGCAGCACACTCACGGCAGAGGTCGGGGGCCTCGTCGCTGTTGTCCAGGCAGTCATTGTCCCCATCGCATTTCCAGCGCTCTTGGATGCAGCGGTTGTTCTTGCAGGCGAACTCCCCAGGCTGGCACTGCGGCGGGGGCACGTAGGAGGGGTTGGCTGGAGATGAGATCAGGGTGGGAGTAGAAACAGATAAATAGCTGCAACTTGAACTGAACAATAGAAACAAGACAAAGCTTTTTGATGCCTCTTAAACTAAGAAAAAAATCAAACTGCATCTCAGATATATTCACCTTAATCCCCCCATTTAGGTTAGAAACACATGATGTCAGTTTACAGCTAGTTCCAATAAAACCAGCATGAGGAATCAAACTAATTAAAGTCATCATGATGAAGTCAGGTTTATGTACTTTAAAGAAAATCCTTTCTGCCGTAAAAACTATTTATTCAAGCATTCACCCTAAAAATGAACAATATTTACAAATGTGAAGAACGTGTTAGAGGAAAGTATATCCATTTCACTTCAAATAGTTTTCTTTGATGCACTGAGATGGCATTTGTCGTGAACTGCAGCTAAGAAAGTATTTGGAACAGAAAGTATAATTTGCAAATTGAAAGTACAGCCAGGAATTTTTCTACTCGGCTCCTGCAGAGTAATGAATTTTCCGTTCACAATGACCTCAAGCGGATCTGGGCTCCCAGTAAGGCAGCTAAGTACCTTTGCAGGTGACATTATCAACATCAAGGATCTGTTCATCCGCACAGCCACATGACCTGCCGTTAGGGATCGCCAGGCACAGGCTGCTGCAGCCACCGTTGTTTACTCGGCACGCATTAGTGCCTGCACAGAAAAGATGTAGATAACTGTCAATTTATCATACTTATGGTTCCAAAAAAAGAGTCAGAAAAAGAAACAAAAAGGTCAGGTACCTTGCTGCTGATGCGCATCATACACTCTGATCTCAAATATAGGGGGCCGCTCATTGCGGAGTAAAGTGACGGTCTTGGTGACCTGGTCTAGTTTGTAGATGCTGCCACCACGGTACTCATTCCAGAACAGAAATTGTTTGTAATGGCACAAGCCAAATGCGTGGTTAAGCGTCTGGCCTTCATACACAACCTGTTAAATCAGAAAACAAGAGAAGGGTTCACATCATAAAAATGTAGCCAACAAATGAGCTGCATCTTGTTCTTTGGTCATGAACAAAAGAGACATCACATTTTTAAAGGGGTACTTTGCAGTTTTACAAAGCTTTTAGCACCCTCTAGTGTCTGTTAGTGAACTTATTTCTTTTTAACAGCAGAAATGTCTCCTCAGCCTTCATTAGTGTCTACATGAGTGATTCATCACTAAATGTCAGCTCCAATTTTACTAAGTCCAACAGGGACCGGACTGGCATTCTGAAGTTGCAAGTGCGACGTTTTGGCCAGAGAGAGCATTGGGGGTCTGAGTGGCATTTCATTAACCCTGTAAAGGATCATTTTAGCACATTCTGGCTCAAGAAAATGATTTAAAAATATGAAAATGTTGCATAGTATATCTTTGAAAGAAGACCCATTAGTGATGCAGAATATTATCAGAAAGCCCCAACCTTTCGCTCTGTGGTGTTGAGGTAAACCAGCTCGATGCGGTCGTAATAAGCATCCACCCAGTACAGGATACCCTGAGGAATATCCAAGCTCAGGCCATTGGGCCACAACACCGTCTTGCTGGTCAAAAACACTTGATGATGCGAACCATCCATCCAAGCTTTCTTGATCTTTCCTCTGTTGCTCTCTGTGGGATCTTCCTCCCAGTCAGTCCAGTACATCCACCTAAAAATAAAATGATAAGACATTCCAGCAAGAACTGCAAATATCTCTAGCTAGGATAGCTTTGATCAGTGATAATCTTTGATGGACCATCCCACGACAACACAAACAAAGCACCTCCCACACGCCGACACAAAGATAATGAGTATTCAAGTTCATCAAACATCTTTAGTGAATGTTTCCCACATAGCTACAAATCAGAAACTTTTCAGACTATCTTCTCCCACTAGTGAACGCTGCTTCTCTGAGAAGTGTCCTACCCATGCTGTGGATCCACAACAATGGCACGAGGGTGGCTCATCTTCCCCTCAATGAGAGTCTTGCGAGTCTGTGAAGCTTTCTCCAGCCTGGCGACACTAATAGTCTTCTTAGGTCCATCATCTGTCCAGTACAGATTACCTCCCATCCAATCTACTGCTATCCCCTCCACTGTGTGAATGCCTGAGATAAGGAAAAATGGGCCAAAGTGAAAATGGAGCTATTAGTGGGCCAATCCAGAACGAATATCAAAAGAAGAAAAACCTAAACTATTTTTTTCCCTTAGTAAATTCTCTGAGGGCCTGAATTTAAAGTCAGACAGTAGAAATTACTTCCTGAGTCCCCTGAAAAGCCTACTTACCCTCCTTTAGAATGATGTCTCTCTCTGTGCCGTCGATCTTCTGCCGACCAATGATGTAGCTGGTGGCATCGGCAAAGTAGATGAACTCACTGGCAGCATGGAAATCCAGAGCTCTGGGGTTCATCAGGTTCTCAATAGGAATCATGTACTCATCAGGCACCTTGGCATTCATGTCCATCCCCCTGATGATTCCAGGGCGACCCTTTCCGTACACTAGGAACAACTCGTGATCCGGCTCTGCAAAGATGGAAGTTCTTTTATTAGAGACCCTTACATCTCTCAGTGATTTCTATCAAATCGGCCTTCTCGTTCTTCCCATCAGCTCTCCTACTTACTCTTGCAGGACTTCCCATCACTGCCGAGACTGAATCCGGAGCGGCAACGGCAGGTTCGAGTCTTGTGGTTATTGCTTAGCAGGCAAATGTCGGAGCAACCTCCAGCTTTTCCAAACTGATCCAGAGCGCACGCAGGACTGCGCACTGAAAACACAGTCCACATAAACTGCAGTTATTGTTTTAAATAAAAACATAAATAGTCTGTGTTAAAAGACAAGACGAGGATCAGACAGTTCGCCAACGGCGAAGCTACGAATGACATCACACACCTTGAGGTTGGCGTCTCTGGTGGTAGACGTGCAGCGCGGCTCCTCGATCCAAACGGGTGACCACTTGGAAGTCGGAGCTGTTGAAGCGGTTCACTCGAATCACACTGGTCTTTGGGTTGAGATTGCCTTCATCTGAGTTTGTGGCATATAGATAGTTCTCAAACACAGTCAGCCCATACAGGTGCTCAATCTGGAAGGCATTGAAGACAGAAATGCAGAAACATCAAAGGACAGTGAGAGCATAAAGTGAAACAGCTCATGACTAATGGCTTGCGAGATATTACTTGTGTTCTCCGTTTTATCTAGATGAGTACACAACTTATCCTGCAAGATGTAACGTTTCAAACAAATAACTCATCAGTAAAGAAAACACAGTAGTTCAAAACTCCCATCTACCGGTATCTCAGAAACAAACAAGCACACAGAGAGATAAAAGATTGTTTAAGTAAACTTGGCACAGCATACCATAATGGGTGCACTCCCCATCTGCTGTCCAGCAGATGGGATGTTTTACTTTAGCTGCTCTCCCCTACTGTCAGAATGATGCATGCTTGGGGATCACATTACTTCCCTCCACCTTTAACACACAAACATCGACCCACTACAGCCCTGATTTCATTAAGGTCATTACATTAGTAAAACCGGAGCTAAGCATCACCAAGTGCTAGACTATCAGTTTAGAGAGGCACCGGCCTTGAGAATTACACACCCTTTAAGTAATATCAATCAAGATGATAAAAATACATTTCCCTGGAAATACAAACAGGTACACAAGGGACGAGTGGGGACGAGGATGGCTTTTAGAGATGATGATCTATTACATTATGGTAACATATGTTAGACGAATATTCTTTTTATGAGCTTAGATTCATTTTCTGGCCTCACCTGCAGACCCTGCATGATGGTGTGTCGGTTTTTGCCCTCATAGTCGACCACTTCTATGTAGTCCAGGTAGGCATCGGCCCAGTACACCAGTCGGTTCACCAGGTCTAGGGTGATGCCGTGGGGGAAGACGATCTTACTGTCCACCAGCTTGGTGCGGTTCTGTCCATCCATGTCACAGCGCTCTACCCTTGGGGTTGACCCGTAGTCCGTGAAGAACAGTTTACTGATGCAGATAAGCAAGAGGGAGAGATCAAGGTTAAGACGAGGAGACAAAAATGGAAATTTAATTAAAGTGGAAGAAATTATGTGATTTTTAGAATCTGGATTACTGTGCTTTGGCCTCCAGTATCAGTTCACCTTCATCTTATGCATCTGTTCATTTCAATTGTTTTTTAGGAGGCTAAAAAGAGAACTGGTTCCTCTAAAAGAGAACTACAGCACGTGGCATCTTTAAGGGTTTATGTAGTGCATAAGGACCTGTCTAGGCTTCTGTCTGCAGGAAGGGTCGGATTTTTGCTTGTCTGCTTGGTCAGCATCTTGTCCAACCATAAGACAGCATTTTCCCCTCAAGCAGTGCTTAACCAGCATTTGGGACAACACCAGGTCAAGAGGGCTGAGACATAATACAAACCCCATGACCGGGTCCAAGGCGATGCCTTTAGGGTTGTACAGGTCCTGGTCCAGCAGAGTCACACAAGTCTGGCCGTTCTTGTTGCAAACAAACACCCGATCGTCCACGTCATCCACAAAGTAAAAGTTTCCAGTCAGCCAGTCTATGGCCATCTGCTCCACATCTGATGGATGTAAAGGAAGCGATGCGAGGCGAGAGGAGAGGAGAGGAAAGAACACAACAGAAGCTTTAAAAAAATAGAATATCTTGTGAGCCCAGCTATGACTCTGAGGCAAATAACAGGATTAAGGCAAAACCTCAGGAATATTGACTATTTTTACAATACTTTTACAACTTTTTAGGTGACCCCTAACTTTTACCCCAACATGTGTTTGATGCCGACAAACGAGGAAATGAAAAGTATAAAGTCACAGCTAAAAGAGGAAAGTGAAGCTCTGCACATTATAAACCAGCTCATGGATTTGGAATGGAGCACTGAGAAGAATTCCATGAAGAGTCTTTTTATTTTCCTCTGAATGATTTTTACATGTGGCATGCATGACTCACCTTCTGGAAATACAAAAAAATACTTCTAACACAAAGCGTAAAGTAACTTTTTATATTCCAGAGGGGCTAATCGCAAGAGTTACATATGCTTCACCCAAATAAAGTCACGTATAACTTTGTGTTATTTCACAGACAAAACCGAACTTTAGACATCAAACAAAAGAAGGATGACTGAAAGAAAACACAACACAAGATGCCCTGATGATGATGATTTAAAGAAACTTTGTTTTATCTCAGTAAAGACTTTAAAGCTGTTTGCAATCCAACAATTCTTTTATAATTTGATGAAGATGCCGATCTTGTTCACTGATCTAATTTCCTGATTTCCTGTCCAGCTCTGTTCTAATGCTTCCATCTCCCTCAATGTGTAGCCCAAGATTTGATGTTCTTTTCTACTGAAGTAAAAACTTCCTCTTCTTTGACTTGGCTGTCATTCACACATCTGAACTGATGTTGTTCCATTATAAGAGTCCAGTTCTCTCCTTTATACGTCTTTCATGTAGAGAGGTTAGCCACAAAACAGCAGCTGCACAACAGATGGAGCAGCGCAGGAGACTTACGTAATGTAAATGCCTCTAAATCATGCATATTGTTCTACAAAGACAATAAAACCCTGAACGTCAACCCAAAAGCCTGAAATGTCTTCAAGCAACAACACAATTCCAGCTGCCTTTTTCCACTTCATTACTCAGGATTGTCATGTCATGGATGAATGAAAATCAACACATTCATTTAGCCGATTAAAGAACATTAAACGTGTGGTTCACTCATTTAATCAAAACATTTGCAGCAGTCTCTAGTAGGAATGAATGCCTTGTAAGTTGTACTCTGGGTACAAAAAGCCCTGGTGCACCTGTTTCAGGATGGAGATAGCCAGATCAGAGGAGAGATTTAAACAGCAGGATTTGGAGTCTTCTTGAAACCTCATCTCTGATTGGCTAACAGAAACGCTACTCTACCACTGACTTGGCTTACTTTGCAACATTGATGTTTTATCTCCTAAAAAAAATCAGGCTTTCCTGTCGTGAGTCAAGATGGGTGAGTCCATGAATGTTAAACGGCAGTGTGATGTAGATCTGTCAGGCTTTTCAAATCCTACAGTTTCACTGTTTTTTTTCTATCAGAAGCTAATGCAGGAGATAGGTGTAGGAGACTATTTTCATGTTCAGCCTGCATGAAAAACTGATTATAATCATGAAATAATCATTAAAATGTGTTTTTTTTTGTGAATTTAAATAAAAGAGTTAATTAAACACCTCTCACAATGAAACTCAACTTTTCTCAAAGAGAATCACAAACGGAGACTTTAATAGAAGACGGGAGTTGTTTTAACAGCTGCCCCCTGCCTGTCCCTTAAAGGACAACAGCACACACACACACACACACACACACACACACACACACACACACACACACACACACACACACACACACACACACACACACACACACACACACACACACACACACACACACACACTATCAAAGTGATTCCACTCCTCTGTGTTTGCGTGAGTTGGGTATAAAACTACAGACAGAAAACACTCTAAGTCTGTCACTAAGCATTTCAGGGCATCCTACCACCCAGCTAACGGTTCCAGAGCACAACCACATCTGGGCCCATTTCACAAAGTGTCCACGCGGTTCACCAAACAGCAAGTTTCAAAATAAAAACAGCAAACGGGACTTCACGTTACATTGTGAGCAGGAAACATAAGAAGACAGAGGAGGACGAACTTATAGTTTGCTTCGTGAATTTTACAAACAAAAAAACTCCTCAAGAAGTAACGAGGCATAGTGAAATTCTTGTTTTATTATCAGATTGAAGTCCTACTCTCTTTTTTTACAGAGATCCAGCTGGAATCAAGCACTTTACTAAAGGCTGAGAGACAGTTGTGCAATGCAGCAGCTTCAGTGTCCTGTAACTGTTTTGACAGCTTCATATTCAAAGTTTATTGACCTTGTTCACTCACACTGCTTCCAGTTAAACATTGCAGGGAAAATGAATGAACCCACCCTGCACTTACAACTTGTTTTTCATCCTACCCCGTAACACCTACTCAAAGCAAACATCTCAAATACCGAGAAGGGTCTCTGACGACAACAAACAAGCTTTTAATACAAGGCAGCTAGATGTACTCACAGGGGCCACAGCCCATCTAGTTCTCCATACTAGTTGAAAGCTGCAGGAAATGTTACTTTAAAGCCGTTGCCTTCTGCATGTCAGTGCTGCATCTACATGTGCACAGCAGAATGAAGATCATGCAGCTTTGATAATCCTCTCTTGGCCAAGATGATCCAATTAATCTGCAAAAACCTATTTGACCTCCCAATAGTCAGGTTTTGGATCCCCACTTGAAAAAGATCAAAAAGAAACAATTGGCTGCTTAGGAGGAACTCATAGCGGGTGACGTAGATGAAAAACACAACATATTAAAAAAAACTGATTTGTAATCTGATTTTTGCACAGAAACAGGAAAAGAGCCTTCCTGCACACCGCTGTATTCTGGAACTGCACGAGGCAACAAAAGCATGGAAGACTTAATAGACAAGACTGATACGGGAAGATCTGATGATCCCTGCTGTGAAGTACTGTGCACAGGGTGAAGAGGACGCGGCCGCCTGGATCTGCTCCGCTTTTATCTTTCCCGTCCGAGGGAATCACATGCCAACAGAGCACACCACATCTGGAACCCTCATCTAGTTATCTGCACTGCCGTCTCAGGCTTTCAGAAGCTATAAATCACCACATTTTTGTGGAACTCACTTAAAACCACTCGCCTAACCACTGTTAGAAGGGCACCTGAGCAGTATTCGGGGTTGACTCAGAACAGAGCAATCCTATAGGATCCTGTTGACACAATAATTTGAGGTCATATTTTTTAGGAGAAATAAAGTAAATGTGTTAATTGGGTGCAACCGTACACAATAAACTAGCTTTTGTTTCAGATCACATACATAAAATTTTTAATTATTCTCTTTTAAAAATAATCCTTTAATTAAATTAAGTCCTCACAGACTGTTAATGCTAACTGGACAGGAGAGGAACTAACCAGAGGAATGCAGAGGCAGACAGATCAGGCTGACATAACCCATGAAAAGCCATCTAAACGTCATCTGAATGACCACTCACACTCACGTAAACATCCCCACCCCCAAGCTACAGCAAATCTCTACCTTCTCTCTCTCCCTTTCATTTTATCATTGGTCACTCTTTAACTATGCTGACGTCGTTCTCTCTGGGGCCTGTCTCACCTCCACCCGTCACCCCCGTCTACTCCTCAGACCTCTTCGTCTCCGGGACAAATCAGTATGATCCTAATGCAGATAAATTGCTTCTGCAATTCTGTCTAAGTGAAATTGATGGCTGCATTAAGTCAACGGACATCCAAGTTTGCAGAAGGGATTTGATGGGAAACAAAAAACTGGGATTCCTTGAAAAGGTAGTGAAAGTTGAACACCAAATGTTGGTTCTGGTTAGAAATAAGAGATGTTAGTGTATTAGACACTTTCAGCTGATTAGTGTTACACTCTCAGAGCAGTAGGGTTGCTTCTCGACAGTGTTCTGTCAGTGCAGATTTGCAGTTGCGGTTTCATTATGAGGATAAAGGTTTCCTGCAGCAGCTAATCAAGAGTCCAAAGCAGTAAACCAGAACCATAAAGATAAGTTGGGATGTCATAAAGTTTCTGTAAACTGTAGTTTCAGCTCTAGGTTCAGTCTAAACCTCTACAATAATCAAGTTAGAGGGTCTGCAGCACAACCAGCCCCTTCTCTACCTGTTTGCAAGTCTGCTGTTTCATGCCTCAGGCTAATCCTCAAGGAAAAGCTTTGCACAGGCTCGTGTACACAGACACACCCTTGATTCTTGATGTTTTGACTACATCTTACCTCATTCTTCTGGAGTAAGAACATTTGTAAAATAGGATAAATCACAGCTTGTCTGGCATGTCATCACAGATAAATCCTGCCAGGATCATGTGACTAAGTCTCTCAAATGCAAGCAATCACATGTCGTGTCCATTGACCTGTCTGAGACTGTGTGTGTGAGTGTGCGTGCATTCGTGTGTGTGATTAGAGCATGTGTGTTACACATTGACAGGCCAGATTTTTCACTTGTTATTTTTCCTCCAAAAACAAACGTGTGAAATTTTACCACAGCATTTTCTGGTAATCAAAGACAGTGATGAACTAATATGACATGTGATGCAAATTTTGTTAAATTAAAACAAAAAGAAATGAAATTTATAATAATTGTACAAAATATAAATGTTTTCTCACTAAAAATGTTTTTGAGATTATAAAATTAGGTATTTTTTAATTGAGAAAATGTAGATTTTATTTTGAAATTCTATCTATGCCTATTTTTTACTGAATATTTACAGAAGTCTAAATATAACTTTCGATTTAGTAGCTGTTGCCAAGAGCTTTTATAATATTTAGAAATAATTTAAAACAAAAAATTTACTGGAAAAAAAATAATGTTCTCTCTTTATTTTCTCCCATTAACAAAAGGTGTTGATTAATTAATATTCAGATCTTTTCTATCTGGTAGCTTCTTATTTTAGTTTTTTCATTTTCTCACCACCTGAAAAATCAAAACCATATTTAAGTACGTTTTTATGTAAATTGTTGCTTTATGAAATTTGTTTTATTGCCAATTTAAATCTACATAAATATTATTTAATCAATTTCCCTCTGGGATTAATAAAATATTTTTGAACTGAATTGAATTGAATTTATTTCAGCCAAGTGTAACGTGATGAAAGAGCCATTTCTACCCTCTAACAGCTGTTTCCTTTTGACACAGTGCCAGAGTGCATGAAACAGCCTCAAGGTCATGCATTCGCTTCTAAACTGTTTACGTTCCAGCGATGAAGACAGAAGAACGAAGAATGAACTCTTTTCTTTTAATTAATCAAAGAACTCGATTTTAATAAAGCTAATCCATCAAAGTGTTAGTCAATAATAAGATGTTACCAACCTGTGAAATTAAAATATTAATTACTTTATTATGATCTTAGAAAATAAGTCTGCGACTTTAAGAATTCCAACAGGACTCATTTCACGTAGTGTTAAAAAGACATAACACATTCTTTCACTGATCCAATCAGAACTTTACAGATCTGACGGAGGTGTGCTTCTGACTGTGTTTGGTAATTTTCATTCGACAATAAACCATAACATCCGAGGTATAAAACTATGCCACGTCAGCTCTAACGCCAGTTCAAAAGCGTTCCAGAGCAAGCGCCGGAGTGGCCAATCCGACCTTTAACTCTTCAACCGAAAGAACCACGACAAGCTGAAAAATCCAGTCGCTATAACCACCAGCGGCAACAACAGCTCCTTTCAGAATAAAAGCTCCACCGACCCAGGCTGGGTCTGAACAGACGCCAATAAAAGAGTCATGTGCCGGAGGTAACTCAAGACAGGTCTGGTCTGAACCGTGGCTTCTTCTACCAGCTCGGTTTCCGGAGAGGGTCCGCTGGGCCTCTGCATTCCTGATCTACAAGAGGACTTCCACAAGGCAGGTAGACCCGGCTTGATGGTGTGTCATGCGGTTCTGAAACTAACCAAAGCTTATTTCAAAACAACATCTTCAGTTCCCGTCAGAACTAATCACTTCTTCGGATTTGCTGGTTCTGATTTACCTGACACGTCATCCATTCACCGTCTCATCCATTTTTAGTTACACTATACATTTAGTTTTGAAGTCAGCCTAGTTTAATTTGTTAGTAATAAAATTCTTAACTTTTAAACTTGACTCTCTCTATTCTGTTGTCTCTGAGTGAATACATAACGGTTACATAATCTCTGCATTAAAAAGATCCAATCTTCTGGTTTAAATAACCCTAGATCCGTAAGGTGGATTTTATATTTACTATGGAATCCCACGCCTTACGGCTCATTAAATAAAATGTAAGAACCTCTCATTTTCCTTACACAAGGTATGCAAACTGGAAACAGATTATTCTTGGGGTTTCACGGGTGTTCAGCACAAGTAACAGATTTCAGATGATGCATATGATACACAAGAAAGGGAAGATGGTAAAAATACATATCCAGCCTTCTGCTCAGTCAGAAGCCTGGATATAAATCTAGTTCCAAAGTAGGTTACAGTTTGCCAGATAAGAAGTGTCGACACCACACTGCAGACTTGTGTGCATCATATCTCTGTATATCAGCCATAGAGATATAGCATACACCAGTTGTGTGTGTCAGGGCATCACTGATCCTTAAAGACAAGACTCGACAAATACAGCTGGATTTTTTCCAGACGTTCCTACATTTGCCAGTAAAGGAATTACTCACGGTGCAAGCTGAGAGTGATGTTGATGGTGCGGATGTTGCTGACGGTCTTCAGATCCTGGATGCTGGCGCACTTTAGCTGAGTAGCAGCAGGAGTGTCTCCGACATCTATCCAGCAAATGGTCTCCTCAGCGTAGATGAAGTCCATGGCCATCGTCTGCTTAGTGGGAATCGAGGGTAGGCGAGTGGTGGAGCCGCTCAGGGAGGTGCATCGAATGTCATGGAGGTTGGCGATCAGCAGAACAGGCAGACGTTCCACTGGCTCTGGTTGGGTTATCAATGGGAAACAGGTGGAAGAAATGAAGGATATGTAGAGTGATCACAAGTCAAACTTTCATTACAAACAAACTGCATTTACTGCCCTTCTTGTGTGTCTTCCCTCACCATTTTTGGCTTTGCAAGATCGGTTGTCTGGCTGCAGCAGGTAGCCCTCCACGCAGCTGCAGGTGAAGCTTCCCTCTGTGTTTGTGCATGTCTGGCTGCATGTCCCGTACACATTACATTCATTAAAGTCTATCAAGCAAAGGACACAAATGACATTTCATGTTTTTGTGGTAGCCATCATAAAACAAGAGTTTAGACTTGAAACTTGCCTTTATAGAAACTCTATGGGTGTTGTTACTTACTAAAGAAGGTCCAAGCAATCATATGGTGTTTCTTAGATTAGTGTAAGAGCAAATTAAAGAGCATTTGCTGCACCCCCACCCACCTTTACATCTTTTTCCATCGGCAGCGACCTCAAAACCATGTCTACAGTAGCACCGAGGCCCATCGTGAGTCACTCCACATTTAAACTGGCACCCGTAGGAGGCACAGTCTGGTTCTTTTGCAGATCCAGAGATAAAAACAAAAAACAAAAACAACAGCTCAGAGTTAAATTCTGCAGGTAAATACATTCAAACACAGATGATGGGAAAGATCCCGCTGCAGTTCATACAAAGTTATGCTTACTTTTCCAACTATGTCTTAATGTCATCAGACAGGAATGGTGGAGGTCATACATGTGCATGCATGTGACATAGTGCGTTATTTGTATGTGCACTCATTAGAGGGCCCCTTCTTTCCAACCCCCAGAGGGAACTCAAGGGCACATCCTCTGGCAGGAAATGAAAGAAGAATCCACACATCATGGCCTCTGTAGGGGTGTGCGTGTGAAAGCATGAGTGTATATGTCCGGACCTGACTGTCATAATTTGATTTCCCCCCAACCGTTTAATTAGACCATAGATGTCCATGGATGCTGCGTAGGAAGATGTCAAAGACGGGCTGCCCGTAGTTTTTTTTACTTTGTCAGCTACTGAGTAAATTTTAATGAGTGATTCAGACAAAATAGGGCATGATAGTTTCCAGTAAGAGGGATAAATCACCAAATGTAAAATAAAAAGCAACATGAGGAACATTCAGAGTATTTATAACATATTTCAGACCACACGTTTTGTTTAGGGCTGGAATTTAATAAACAAATCTGAAATCTTTATTCTGACATCAGAGGAAAAATACTTGAATTAGTTCATCAGGCTTCCCAGATAAGGTAAAAGCTGTAAGGCTAAACAAAAAGCTAACCTTTGCCACAAACATGATTGAGTAATCCCAAATTTTAATTATTAACCCGATGTAAACACTGGAAATTTTTAAAGCTTACATAAAGAAGCTACCAGCAATATCAGACAATTTACCACAACAGCCGACAAAATCCAGTAATTGGACATGGACACAGTGCATACAGTGGCCGGTGGTGGTGTGTCTGTGAGGAGCGGAGATCAGCCCAGTGAAGGGCCCTTGTTATATAAAGCCTGTGGCACTCTGGGCCATAATGACTCTTTTGTTGTGGCCCTGCTGAAAGGAGGAGTTCCCCGGCTCACACTGTGGCCCACATCGAATCCATTCACCAAGCCTCACACTGAGAGAGTCCACAGGCAACTGGAGAGCTAAAATACTTACATTGTGTACCTCCATCCAGGGTCATTGTGCTCCGTTTTGTACTTGAGTCTCAAATGATGGGTGGGCAATATGTACAAATACTACAGTTCAATGTTATGATCAGAATTTTCTAATTTTCCGGATAATTTTAGATCAAAATCCCCAAATAAATTAATTTAATTTTTTTTTACTTGTAAAGTTTTGTTAAACAACTATTTATTTTGGAAATAGGTAAATTAAACAGTAATAGGAAAAGATGATGGTTTAAGCACATCTAAATCACCCAGAATACATCTGGAGGGAAACTATTTGTAATGGAGACTTGTAATAATCAGTTACTCTAATTAAGTACAAATTCCCTTTATTAGAATCACATCTGATGGGATGAGAAAGCGTTGAGCCTTAAGTAAGCATCTGTTGACATGTAAAAGGCAAAAGGATCTCTGCAGCGGATATGAGTACAAAAGAGAAGAGCAGAAAATCAAAGCAGAACTAACGAAAGCAGAAATATGGAAAAGAAGAGCAAACGGATGTGGAGAGAAATGCGTTAAAGACAAATGATTTAAAATTACAAGTTCCAGCTCTAGGCAAACACAAGCACCACACCCGACGTTTGAGCAGGAGGGAAGGAACAAAGCAAACATTGCAGGACTTCACCCTTTAGCAAACACGCCAAAGACATTGATCCTGCTGCTGCACGAGCGGCAGACAATACTTTTACTTTAAGAGGCAGCAGATTGCAGTCCTGGGTGCTGAAAGATTGATCTTAGAAATAAAATACATAGAATCACAGTAGCAGATTAAAATGAGACATAATGACTAAACAGGTTAGAACAGCATCTCTACCGTGAGACACGGATGTGTATTTAACCTTTTCTTAAAGGTATGGTTGACTGAAAAAACTTTTTAAATTATTATTTGTGATTATAATCGGTTACTCTGAGATTTTCATGCAGGCGGGAAACAGTGAAAACTGTCTACTACACCTATCTCCAGCATTAGCTTCTGATAGAAAATAAATAGTGAAATGCTAGGACATAAAAATCCTCACATGTCTATGTCACACTGTGAATTTGCATTCATGGACACGCCCATCTTAGCTAGCGCCTACCCACAGGAAGTTTGTTTTTTGCAGCGAGGAGAGAGAACGAAGTGTCTTGGTGATAGTGACTTTGCAACATGGCTGAATGCGCTCTGTTAGCCAATCAAAAGTGAGGCTTGTTCATATAATTAATAATGAGTAATCCTGCTGTTTTCAACCCACCTCAGCACCAGCAACCAAAAGGAGCATCATAGCTTTTTTTAATGACTCAAAAGGCATTGATTTACACAAGAGAGCACTGCAAATGTATTGAATAAATGAGTAAACCACACTTTTAAAAACTTCTACGAAAAATACAGGTATTACACAAAAGGAGTTGAAAAAAAGCTTAATAAAAGCTGTATTTTTCTACAGATTTCAACAACATGGAATAGGTGTTTCCTTAAAGTGATTTGGCGTTATTTCTCTGTAGATAAATAATGTCAGACTGCTTTATCCCATAACAACAGAAGCGTATTGCATTCAGCCATGTAAAAAGCTCTGCTTATCCAAATTAAAGAGATTGTTAAAAACAAAACTGTTCTGTTTTTCCGAAATAACGAGATAATCTTTAAAGAAAAAAAATTATAAAACAGCTATGTTTTTCTCAGATAATGAGAAAATCTTTAACTTCATCTGTTCGGAGTCCGAAATCATTGAATTTCTCCAACAGCAGACGGGGATGACACACCCATATTGGTAACAGGTTAATTCATCGCCAACTACCAATGGATGGCAGGCATTTGTTTCTTTAAAAATTAGCTTGTTAATTCGGAAAAACAGAGCATTTTATTTCTTTGTGGCTGAATGCAATACGCTTCCGTAAATAACTGATAATCATTTTACACATTTAGAACCGGAAAAAAGTGAGATTGTGTTTATTAAATAGAATATATTTAATTTTACAGTGCATGTAGGTTTATAAAGTTTTCATAACTGGTCAAATCATTTCATTTCCTTGTCAATATTCATGAGTTGAAACCTTCAACAAAACATTAAATGAAGAAGCAAACAGCTCCGGCTTGGGAAATTTGTAAGGAAACAAACTTTGCACAACATTCCTAGCTTTGTGCTCTAGCTCCCTGGAAACAAGTTAAAACATGACTTCAGCCCCTTCGCGAAACTGACAGAAACCTTTTCTCATGCAGTGACATCAAATCACCTGATTTCTTGTTTAAGCATATAATCTTCAAGTTTTTGATGTATCACCTGGGTTTATACATGGAAATTATTAACCAACGCACTAATTCATCTGGGCTTGAATAAAAATGTTAATTCTATTAATCTGAAATCATTTGTTTAATTAGTTTATTATAACAGAGTTTCATGGGTTCTACTCTGCACTAAGAACGAAAAAGAGGTACAGGCTGAAGAAACAGCTACTGGAAACCCAAAGAATATTTACAGGAAACAGTTTAAAGGCTCAGTAATCAAAAAAGGGCAAAGTAACCATTTGTAAACAGAGAGGACAGCAGTTTGAGCAATGAGCAAACAAGGACCAGCTTGGTCCCAAACAGCAGCAGCGTGTTGCCTAAATGCCTGAAACAAAACTTAGACAAATATTGGATCATAAAACTACAAAATATCTCACAAAGGGCATTTAGCAGCAAAAAAAAAAGAAAAAAAAAAGGTCAAAACTAAAACTTTTTTCATCTTGAATTAAACCGTTTACAACACTAGAATGTCTTAACACACAGTAAAAAAAAACAGCAATAAAACAGGCCCTATCGGCCAAGACAGCTCTGATAACTGTGGCCAATATAATCATTTAGGTCAGGACCATAGACTGTACATACAGGTAGGTCAGGACCCGCTTGAACGGTGGTGACAATATTGTCTTTGACTAGAAAGCTTTAAAGGAGTGGCTGACTCGTTTAATCAATACATTTGCAGCAGTGTTATTTTGACAAGAATTTTTAAGGTAGTTTTAGTCTTTTGAGTAAATTTTTTAAAACTTTTAGTCACAATTTGGTCATCCAATTTATTTTAGTGTTAGTCTTATTTTAGCTGACCAAAATATATGTATTTTTCTTCTAATGCAAAAATGTTCAACTTCTGTAAAGGAAGTGTTTACACCCACTTGAAAGGGTAAAGAAATATGAAAAAATTACATTTCACACTTTGGATCAATAAAACTATTTTATTTATAAATAATAATTGTAGAAAAATACCAAAAAGAATAGTTTGAAATTGTGCCTCTCAATAATAATAAAATAAACAAATCTGTTTAATGTGCAGTAATATTTGTAAGCATGACAGAAAATTACATAATACCATCAAAACATTAAATGTATTACTATAATAATGGAAGTCAACTAAAGGTAGAGTTTCTATAAGACAGACTGATCAAGGTGGGACACCTGAATGTTTCACCTCACAAAAGCACTGCTAGAACACCGAACGCTGATCATAACGGACGTAACAGCACCAGGAAAATAAAAACAATTGGACAACAAGATGCACGTTGCGCTGCTTCGTGAGCTTGGTTCGGTTCACTGAGCTCCAGCACCCCCTCTCCTGCCCACCGCTTGCTGCTAACAACACCGTAACACTTTTATAACCAAGGTAAACCCCAGATGTGTACTCACCATGCAAATACTTTTCAGCTTGTCACATCTACGGCTATTACTCCCCGCTCTGGACATTTTCTCCTTTTAGACATAACTTTTACCGGCATAAACATATGATGTAAGGCTAGTGGTAACTTGCTCAAAAAGCGGCCGGCTCCGGACTCTTGACTGGTTCTTTTCTAATCCAGTCCCTCCTGTTCCATTTGCTGATTGGGTATTTTTTCCAGTCTCCCATCTTTTCCATTTTTTATATAGCAGTGCACCATTCCCAAACGTTGCCCACATCACAGCTGAGCTTCAGACGGCAGGTTTTGGAGTCTTATTTCCTGATACTTCAACATCACCTTGGATTGGATAACAGCAACACAACTCTGCCACTGACTTGCAAAGTAGATGTTTTATCTCCACAAATAGAACAAGCCTGGAGGAGCTTCTGCCATGTGTTGAAGTTGCTAATGCTAACGGTTAGCTTAAACTTGCTGAGAAATTCTCTGCTGTTTCCTGGATGCTAAACCAACAACAGCCCTCCCTATCATGAGTCAAGATGGGTGAGTCCATGAATGTTAATTCACAGTGTGACGTAGATCTTTGAGGATTTTCAAATCCTAGATACCGGTATTCACCGTCTATTTTCTGAATCTAATGCAGGAGATAGGTGTAGGAGACTATTTTCAAGTTCAGCCTGCATGAAAAACTCTAAGTGAATAATTAAAATCAGAAAAATTATTCAGTCAACCACACATTGACTTAATCCATGCGTCAATCTGCAACAGGCCACTGCAAAATTCTCTTTTGATGAAAATGTATCTTTTGTCTTTAAGATAAGAAAATATCACCCAAAACATTCTTAACATTCAGAATTCAAATCTGTGCCACATTCTGAAAAATAAAGTTTTATTTCCACCACATCAAGCTCCCAGCCTGACCTAGCGAGCCACATTCGAACTCTTGACCACTCGCCAACAACTTTAGAATTACATCAGGATGCTGACAAAGTGTGCTTTTCAGAAATCAGCTGCCAGATACGCTTACACAACGTGGCATTTTGTACAAGCAAACGCTTGCATGCTTGTAAAAAAAGTGTTTCCCAGATAAAAAGTGAGCTCACAAACAGCAGCGCCATGAGTCCTGGACACACCGCCAGTGTGTGTTTGTAAGATGTATAATGGGTGTGTTTGTGAGTAAGAATGTGTGCATGTGAAGTTGCACACAGCCATCAACAGACAACATGAACATGTAGGTGTGTTTTAAGTGCTGCTGTGGGTTGACCACTGCCTCTCATTGGAAACAGCTGGACTTATGTCCTTGGGGAAAGGCAGAGCATGTCGGGACTTGATGGCTACATCACAGTATCTGGTAATGATGACAGCGTGACATCCACTCTGTGCAAGTCTATTAGAACTCCTGCTTTACAGGAATGAACTGATAATACCTTAGGGTTTGGACTAATTCACTTTAAAATTTAAACATTTCAGGCTTGTTTTTATTTGGGAATGGTGGTCTGATACACTCTTCTTTTTGGGACGGATGCATGAGCAATGACAAAATGGAGACATTACATTTTAAGAACAAACTCTGACTCATTGTAACTAGTTTAAAGATAAAACCAAATTAGAAATGCATTAAATCAATGTAATAAACAACAAAATGATGAAGCAAATACATATATTCACTTTAAAACACAGACCACAGAAGATACAAGTACAGGTAACAGAAGTTTTGGGAAATATTTCAGAATTAGTAGAGATAATGAGATTTTAGGTGACTATGGACTTTGGTCTTCTGAAACTTCTGATCTGAATAAAAGGTTTGGTATACCCACAAAAGATTGCTAAGACAGAAAACGTGTCCCAAATGAGAAACAATGAAAATCTAAAACTAGGCAGAACGTCAGACAACCAAGTCTGAGGAGTATGTCCCGGATCTTCCTTTAGGTCTTCTCCCCGGTTGGACATGCCCCGAAAACTTCACCAGGTAGGCGTCCAGGAGGCATCCTAACTAGATGCCCAAGCCACCTCAACTAGCTCATCTCGATGTCAAGGAGCAACGGGTCTACTCCGAGCCTGTCCCGGATCACTGAGCTTCTCAACCTATCTCTAAGAGAGAGCCCAGCCACCTTGCGGAAAAAACTAATTTTGTATCCACAACCTAATTTTTTCGGTCCCTACCCAAAGCTCGTGACCATAGGTGAGGGTTGGAACATAGATCGACCGGTAAATCGAAAGCTTCGCCTTCCGGCCCAGCTCTCTCTTCACCACAACAGATCGGTACAACGCCCGCAGTACTGCAGACACAGCACCAATCCGCCAATCAATCTCTCGCTCCATCTTTGCCTCACTCGTGAACAAGATCCTTAAAAGCTTGGTTTATGCTTGACGCATTTACTTAACGCTTGGTGATGCGGCTCGCAGATGGAACGCGCTTCACAGCTTGCAGCATTTATGGTTCATGCGGCTTGTCTCTACGGTGAGCCAATATTCTCCCAAACTGTAGGGGGCAGCATGGAGCTCTATGGCATGCATCCAACAACACACCATAGTAGAAGTAGAAATTACTGTTGTTTATAACAGTTGTTAATGAAAGTTGAGAGCCAACTCAGCTCTTTTAGAATTGGTGGAGTGTTCTTGTTTCCACCAGGATCACCGCTTTTCCGTTTGTTCCCCTTCCTTGCCTTCACATATCGGTCCCTCACGTTTTTCCAGCATTTTTTAACAGCGTCCTCGACTTTTCCGACAGTGCAAGCTATTCCTCTCCAAGAATTATTAACAAAATGTTGATCACGGTGATCTTTGAGAGCGGAATCATACAAATGTCTGTATTTACGAACTCTGCCATTACTAGTTCTTGCCAGTCCGCCATGTTTTTCCATGTTCGACTGTCCGCGTGGTTAGAAAATTTCCTAGGTGTGCGGTGTAGAAAGTTTGGGCCCTGCGGAGGCCAGATGGAGGGGCGTGGTTGTTAAAATGACGCAATTTTGCCGCGCGGAGCTGTGCGAACCTCGCGGACGCGTCAAGCATAAACCAACCTTAAGTCCTCCACTTGAAGCAGGACCTCACCCTGACCCGATGAAGACATTCTACCGACTCAAGACCATGGTCTCGGGTTTAGAGGAGCCTGCGTTACACCTGTGCCCAGAAAAGCCTTTACTGTTTTAGAGGTTGTAACACAAGTCGGAGCTCATCCGGGATAATTTAGAACATGGCACAGTTTATTTTAGAAGGCTTTTTTTAAGCATTCCTGGCCAACTAGTATTTGATTTACATAGAAAATGATGATTTATGTGCACTTGCGTCACATTTTGGCATCCTTGTGTCCAAATCCATGCAAAAAAGTGAACAAACATTTAAAAAAACTACTTTAAAGGGACATTCCACCCCTAAGTGAAATTTAGTCTGTTGCCATATTCCCCAGCGTTAAATAAATGGGAAAACACATTTCGTAACCAGCCCAGTCATTCACCTAATTGCTTCTGATTGGGCCCGTGTCAAGAAAATATCCCTTTAAAAACTCGTAAATAAATGACCTACTTCCAGTTTTATTATCATCCCTGGAGTGTAGCAGGCTTGTTTTCTCTGCAGTGCCACCTACTGTTTAGAAAGAAATCTGCAGCAGAATGCATCAAGCATGTGAAAGCATGACAACTTTATTAAAAAGGAACAAACATGCCCTAACTGATCCAACAACTCTATTTGGCTCTTGACCCAGAACCAAAGGGGAGACTTTTATCCTGATCAAAAACAGAAAAGTTGTTTCATCTGAATTCAGCTAACATGTGCTTTTACCTCTGCAGTGAGGCCCTTCATCCCAGCCATCAGAACAGTCGGGAACTCCATCACACAGTTTGCTCATATGGATGCAAACGCCCATGTCTAGGCACCCATGTTCATTGACAGGACACTGGTTCGTCCTGCTGTGTGTGCCTGGGAAAGGAGAAAACAAAGTAATGTAAAAATCAACCTTTTAGAAAGGGTAAATTCATTTTTAAATTGGTCCTAAAACTGAACAGGTTGCACTTGTTATTAAAAATCCAAAATAACAGAGTCTGGACTGTAGCTATGGTCGAAGGTAAAGTCTCACCTGAATATGCCTAACTTGAGAATAAGCAATAGAAACATTTTAACAGGAAAAGCATGTGAGAAGTTAATATCTTTAATTCTAGCCTTGACATTTCTTTAATCAAGCAGACAGTGATAATACACAACAAATCAGTTATGGTTATAGAACCATGATTCTGATTTGTTATCAATAGAACAGTATGAATGAGATTTTATGGTTCTACGAACTGAGATCATGACAACAATGTGCACTTTTATCATCATTTTCTAACAAACTTCATATTTATTTACTCCTTTCTCCACGAAACAACAGAAAAGTTCCTGAACTGAAGGTTAAAACTAGACTGAGATGAGACACGGATTATGTTTGGATGACGTTTTGACAGATTAGGAACTAAATGTTCCCAGATTTTTCAGAACCCACCCCGCCAAAATATCTCAAACTGTTAAACAAAATGAACATGAATGCTGTGGTTGTTGTTTACAACATTTCAAATCAGCATTGAGAAGACGTCTGCATGCTTTATCATTGGCAGACAGTGAAGAAAAACATAAAACACCAATAACAGATATCATTTTTTAACTCTATGTCACATGAGAGCATACAGGAGATGAAGCCTGCAGTTTCCCCTCCCTCCCTCCCACTCTCCTCTCTTTCTCTCCCCTCTCAGCCCACACGGCAGAGCAAACAGTTTGCTTGGCTGTTTTTTCATCTTCTTTCGCTTCCTCCTCCTCCGTCTCTCCCTTTTTCTTGTTTTCTTTCTAACATCTGCTGACCCATTTTAGGGAAACACTCTGAGGAGAGAAAATAAAGTTCACCTCCTTTACAGGAAACAATCTGTAGAGTTCTGCGGGTTATGTGGGATGCTAACAGAGGCTTTGAGAGGCTGGTTTCTGAAGCAACCTCCACTCGAGCTGCATATTTTCAGACCGTTCCCTCATAAATAACTCTAGTTTGAAAACTAAACAGCTGCTACAAAAGGGCATTTAGTTCAAAGTTCCAGAAAACATTCTTACAAGTACCAATGAATTTTATAGACTTTCTATCAAAAACGTAGACACGAGGGGGAGAACACTTGTATGTGCATCGACATTCTTTGAGGAAAGCCACAAGCATTCCCTCTGAATCCTTTCTATCCTTCCAAGAGATTAGTTACCACATTAAAACATAGAATCCAACTCAGTTAAAACTGTTGCCTTAAAGTGACAGGAGCCTCCTCAATGAGTCCACCACAGCAGCCTGTGTGGAAAATGTGCCACACTGAAGCAGAAAAATAAGCTTCCAACACATCTGGCTTAGAGGATGTTAGCATATTAGCTGCCCTCCTACAGCCTTGGCCTCTAAGCCAGCCTAGTTTACATTCAGTACATGCCAACATGGGGATTTCTGCATAAACTGCAGTACGAAGAATAAACCGTCATTTACACTGGAAACAAACCCCCCTGCCAAGGGTTTAACGTCTGTCAACAGTTTTCAGGGAAATACTAAAGACTACTCAGAGAAAAAGTTATTAAAAAGAGAATTTGTCTTTTGAATTTTGGAAATAATTCACTGAATGTGACGTTGGGAAGACCCAATGTTTACCTAAATCAAGTCCCACTGGCCATCCATGCACTAGCATAAAAATTGTCCATAACAGAATATGAGCATGTGGATTAAATATTGAGGATTTTTATTTATTTATGAAATGTGACCCTTCATATTTGTAGTGTAATTAAAATAATGTCCTCTTACACTACCAGGGGATCATTTCTGCATCAACATACCCACACTGGGACTAACAAAAAGGCTTTCAGTGACTAATTTCATGTCGTTTGGTGCTTTTGAACCATTTTACTCTGAAATCTGATTAAAGGCTACTCTTTCTGGATCAACTGGCTCAGATTTTTATGGTAAAGAAAAACTTTCAAAGAATTGCTAAACAGCGTTCAATGAGACCTACACTGCCCGGCCAAAAAAAAAAAAAAAAAGTTGCCTCCTGGATTAAAACTAAGCAAATAGGTACTAGCCTCCTATTGGATAACTACTACATGGGCGATCTTTCAGCTGGCAACAAGTTATTTAACCCCAACTGGTGCAATGAGTTGGTTCTCATTCCTTAAACAATTATGTGGAAAGACACATCTGGTGGTCGTGGAAAAGATGTTAGTTTGTGTGAGAAGGGTCAGATCATTGGCATCAAGCAGAAAAAAACATCTAAGGAGAATGCAGACATTTCTAAAACTGGGTTAAGAACTGTCCAACGCAATTATTAAAAACTGGTCTGATGAGTCTAGACAGACCCTGTTCCAGAGTGATGGGTGCATCAGGGTAAGAAGAGAGGCAGATGAAGTGATGCACCCATCATGTCTAGTGCCTACTGTACAAGCATGCAGGGGCAGTGCTATGATCTGGGGTTACTGCAGTTGGTCAGGTCTAGGTTCAGCAACAATAGCCTCTTTTAGAAAACAATGCAGCCAATTAGCTGCAATGTTGAGCTGGCATTAGGGAGCCTTAGGTCATTTATAAGTGGTCAGACATTGGCGATAATGTGGTGCAACCGTGTCCTTGATACAAAAGATTACGCAATGGTGGTATAAAGGGGTATGGGGGCAGTCTCTGCACTGCTTCCTTTTATCTTAGACATAACTTGCTTTTTATTGTGATCGAAACCACACTCATTAAGTTTTTCTTAAACAAACCGCTCCTAAAGATGGCTGTCCTCCACAGTCCCTGAACAGTCTCTGGTGATCTGACGTCCAGCTCTAATGGAGAGAAGCTCCTGGAGCGCTGCATCTCTCCGGTTCATCATCTCAGCTGGTTCTGTTTACAATGCCACACAGAATGTATGCCGTAGTCAAAGCTAAAGGCGGTCCAATGAGATCTTTGAGTGTGTGTGACCTTTTTTTCTGGCCGGGCAGTGTATGTGTTCATATGATTAAGATCTGTGGGACACCTCTAAAGATGGGAAGAAACCCCTCCCAAGTAAATGGCTGAATAGATACTCTGATGACATATTTCTAACTCTTAACTAGAGAAGCAATAAATGCTCAGATTAGGACAGGAATTCATGGATTTTCAGCTGCACTGGTATATATGATTATTTATATGAACTTTATTCAACCAGGTAAAAACAGATTAAGACAAAATTTATTATTTGAACCAGTGGCCTAAAAAATGCAAGGCCTTTTGATGTAGGAGAGAACACTCAAACACAAAACACAATTTTAAATTTCTTTTATATCACCAGAAGCTTCTTAAACTGAATTGGACGTTTGGCAAAAGTCCATGCATTAAAATGAGAAACGCAGTTGGTGCACCTCTGATTTTAGACCAAGATCTGAAGTAAGTTGGGTTAGGGCAAGTTTCTAGAGTATACCCTCCCATTTGCAGTTCTCAACTGCTGGTTGGTAGTCAGAAAGTTGCAGCTCAAGAGACCAGAGCCTCTTTCCCACAGTCTCTTTAAGGTGTGACTGTCTGGCTTTCAATGAACTTCATTCACGCAGAGTAAAGGATGATGGGAATTCAACCACTGCTGAGGCTTCTGAGGCGGACTTGTGTACAGTCCTACAAGAAAAAACCAACAGTGGCCCCTCAGCAACGACTACTTGTGTTGCTAAAATACTGACCGGAGCAGCAGATATCAGAATAAACATAAAAAAGGTGTGGAAAACAAGTTTAATGGGGAAATTTGCATGAAAAGAACGATTAAAACAGAATTTGGTGTATTATAAATGGTCACATAGGTTTAGCCTCTAAAAGCTTGGAGAAACTACACAAGATAGGACCAACAGGTTAATGGAGTCAAAGTGTAACTCTTATTATTAACTATTATTGTTTTACTGCCTATTTAAATGTGCACGCCAGACTTCAAAATCAGAGGTAAAGACTTTTTCCCTCCAACTCCTCGATGCCTGAACTCAACCATCCCCCACCACTCAGTCTCCAGTATAGTTATGCAACGACCTTAAATTTGGAGCCCCTGTTGATCCTTTGTCCTGAGCTTAAAAGCTTGCATTTCCTTCTGCTCTTGGGTTCCATGGCAGCCCCTCACTGACTGCCATAAAGTCCGCTGTCAAGTCAAATTAAAACGTTATGTCAGTTGACAGGCAGGCCAGTCCAGCGACCAACTCTCAGCTCTGTTGAATCCCACTTTGCAATCTGCCACCTGAAACAACTGAATGGGCCAGAACTTCAAAAAAGGAAGCCATGGTGGCATGCCTGCTAGCAGGTTGGCCTTTTATTTGAATGTAAACAACTGCTCTGTTTAGGTTTATCTTATAAACACTATCAGAAAGGTGTTCCATTTATGATAAACCTCTTTGCACACATCACCTCGGAGCCCAGTCCTGATGTGTATAACGTATCAGTGGTGTCCTGTCTGAATATACAGAAGGTCAGCAGGGAGGGTCAGAGTTGATCTAGTGCCAATTTGCCTCTGAGCCAGTGGCTGAGGTGACCACAGAGTTAAATTAGTGTGCATGTGCAAAACTGCAGACAGCATGTGTAGGGCACCACACCAACAACCCCAGTGCCACCGAGTTGATTCTGTCTGGATTCTGTAAAACACACCCCATCACCAGCGTGACTGACCACATGAAAAATCAGTGGCAAAAGGACAGATTTTTAAAAACAATACAGATAAGTCCAAGTGTCAAAAGGCCCAGTGTGGTTTACTGAAAAAACATTTTTAATGCTGATTTCTGACTTTAATTGGTTGAGATTTTCATGCAGACTGAACATGAAAATAATCTCCTACACCTATTTCCTGTGTTATTTTCTGATAGAAAATAAACGGTGAAACTCTAGGATTTAAAAAGCCTGACAGATCTACGTCACACTGTCACTTAACATTCATGCATTCATCGATCTTGACTTGCAACGG